AGCAGCACCCCCAGAACCGGCACCTCCAGTCCCAGGGTCTCCAGCCTCAGTGCCTCCAGCAGCAGCACCCTCAGACTCAGCACCTCCAGCCCCAGCAGCTCCAGTACCTCCAATACGAGCACCTCCGGGACCAGCACCACTCCCAGCTCCAGTGACGACAGCAGAAGTACCTCCAGCGGCAGAGCCCCGAGCTCCAGAAGCGCGACCCTGACGGCGACCGTACCAGTCGTGCAGCTGCTGCGAGGTGAGAGGCACACGCGGACGAAGGCGGCTACTCCAAGGAAGCCGCGCAACAGCAGACTCAGAACCCTCAGCGCCAGCACCCTCAGCAGCTCCAGAACCTCCAGCGCCAGCGCCACCAGCGCCAGCACCTCCAGCAGCTCCAGAACCTCCAGCTCCAGCACCCTCAGCAGCTCCAGACCCTCCAGTAGAAACAACTCCAGTGGCAGAGTCACCAGCTCCAGCGCCTCCCGCACCAGGGCCCCTAGCTCCAGCAGCGCGACCCTGACGGCCAGCGTACCACTCAAACAGCTGCTGTGGGGAGAGAGGGAGTCGACGACGAGAGTGCAGCGGCGAGGCACCAGCGGAGCGACTACGGAGACGGCCGCTCCCGGGAGACTGCTCACCAGACGCCTCAGCGCCCCCAGGCTCAGCACCCCCAGACTCCTCACACCCAGGCTCAGCACCTCCAGTCTCCGCACCCCCAGGCTCCGCACCCCCAGGCTCAGCACCCCCAGGCTCAGCACCCCCAGGCTCCACACCCCCAGGCTCAGCACCCCCAGCAGCAGCACCACCCTCAGCAGCACCTGAGTCACCAGTGACCTCAACCTGAGGAGGAGGGTCTACCTGAGACACACCTGAAGGAGCAGGACCGGGAGCGGGGAGGGGGTCTACTTGGGGAGCACCTGGAGCGAGGAAGAGCGGCGGGGGGGGGGAGAGGGGCAGTGCGGTAGGGGAAGAGACGGTAAAAGGGAACCGACTCGTCGAACGTGACGTCCTGAGAGGGGAAGACACGGCGCGAGGTGGGGTGGTAAAACTGCCAACCAGGCGCGTCAGGGACAAAGCCAAGGAAGACACAGGGAACAGCGCGGGCAGAGAGCTTGTCCGCGGTGGTATCGCGGACAAAGGCACGAGCACCCCAGACCCGGAAACGCGACGCATCGCCAACCTTCCCCGTCCACAGCAGTGTGGGCGAGGTCTCCGGCAAGGAGACACGGGGCCAGAGGTTGAGCTGATGCGCGGCGTACTGGACCGCAAACGGCCACAGAAAATGGGGGGCAGCCGCATGGATCATGGAGGTACGAGCGACCTCCATGACTAAGCCAATGCGGCGCTCAGCAACCCCATTCTGCTGCGGAGAGGCCGGAAGCGTGAACGACTGGCGGATGCCGTGCTCCGCACAGTAGGCTGCCAAGAGGTCTGAGGAGAACTCACCACCTCTGTCAGAGTGCAGACGCGGGACAGGAAAGTCCGACTGGAACCGCTCGCGGAGCTGGAGACGAGTAGCGCGGATCCAGGGGATCAAAACATCAGGGACCTCCCCCTTGCTGCGCAAGGGAAAGACCGTGGTGTAACCAGGCCTGTCGAAGTTCCTGGGGCCCATACTTGCGCTCCCCAGCTCCTCCCCAACTGACCCTGTTTTGGGTGTAGCTGAGCGTTTGGGCACCCTTAACGGTCACGGGCGCACCCCAAAGTGAAAACTTGAAATCCGGGCATGTGAAGAGTTTGCGCTTAGACGCTAAGGGAAAATTCGGGTGCTCCAAAGCTGACTTAGACACTTTACAAACACGGGTTTGGCTAGAAAACGCTAAGGGAAAAATCCACTCCTCTCGTGCAACCTAAGGAGAAAGGGGGGGGGGGGGGGGGGGGGGGGGGCACTTGGACGCTAAGGGAAAATTCGGGTGCTCCAAGCTGACTTAGACACTTTACAAACACGGGATTGGCTAGAAAACGCTAATGGAAAAATCCACTCCTCTCGTGCAACCTTAGGAGAAAGGGGGGTGGGGGGGAGTCAGTCAGAATTGGGGGGGGGGGGGTCCTACAACCGGAAACCAAAACTTTGAGACAGAGGAAGGCCTGGTTTGGGCCCTTAACGCATCCGGGTAACGGTCGAACGAGGCACTTAGTGGAACGGGTGCAGTGCGAATCTAACACTTTATGCAGTCGAGCTGGAGCGAAAGTAGCCCGGAATGTTCAGGGCATTAAGGGCATATGCCCTTGAATCGACAGGCCTGGGTGTAACGCGTGTAGTCGTCGACGACCAGCAGGAAGTACCGCTCGTGGCCCTGTCCACGGACGCGGGCTGGGCCCCACACGTCCAGGTGGAGAGTCTGCAAGGGAGCCTCTGTGGGAGGGAACGAGGAGGAGTGAGGAGCGGCGCGCTGCCGCCCCTCGACACAGGGAAGACAGGGAGGAGCAGGCGAGGGCGGTAGAGGAGGCAGAGTCTCTGGAAGTCCAGAGACAAGGAAACGGCTGTGCATGCGACGAAGGCGCTGCACCGAGGGGTGACCAAGGCGGTGGTGCCACAGGACGGTCTGGTGCGACAAAGCGCGACACGAACAGGGGGTCGCTAGCTGACCTGACGTAAACGCAGACGCAGACGCAGCTACCTGAGGGGACACAGTGGTCAGTGTGTACAGACTCGAGCCAGGCTCTCGGGTGAACGTGGCCAGGTGCCGACCAGTCCGGGAGCACGTACAGTGGGTCACACGCTGACCTCCAGGGGTGAACTGGTCAACCCACACATCCTGTAGGTCAGCTCCACTCACCAAGTTCGTAGAGAACGAGGGGAGGTGAAGACCTGACAGGGAGCCAGACGGGACCGCCGGACACGGCAGGACCGTGGAGGAGTGCGCAAGGACTGGACCCCCAGAGGGGTCTGCCAGTGAGACTGCAACTGGCCGACGGAGCGGCGTGAGTGTGGTGCTGTCGCGAAAGAAGGAGCGGGAAGCACCTGAGTCAAGTGTGAAGGTGTATACGGCCTCAGCAGGCGCAGTACCAGAGAGAGCAGACTCACCAGCACCTGGAGCAGCAGTCTCACCAGTACCTAGAGCAGGAGACGCACGAGCACCTAGAGCAGCAGCCTCACCAGCACCTAGCGCAGGAGACGCACTAGCACCTAGAGCAGCAGCCTCTATACCTGGGTCAGGCGGTACGCACAGGGAACAGGCACGGTCATCACTAGTAGGCAATGCATACATGGCAGTGAGAATAGCATCATAGTCAAGAGCAAAGATATCTACCCCCTGCCCAAGCAGCTCTAGCCAGGTGGGGACCTCAGCCTCGTCACCAAACTCTGTGCGCCAGGCGTCGCTCAGACGGGCGAAGCAGCGGGACTGGGTGTGACCAAGTGTCCCGCAAGCCTGACCAGACCGATCACCTGTGCGTGGGACGTACGGGCAGCGAACGGTACTCCGAGACCCTCGACTCTGAGCGTACCACTCGTGAAGCTGCCGGGACGTAAGTGTCTCGCGCGGACGCCGCTGCAGCTGCAGCTGGCCACTGCCAGACGCTCCCGACCGGCCAGCTCCAGGGCGACAGTCACGACGGCTACCGCCACAACCCCAACTAGCGTACCACTCACGAAGCTGCTGAGGCGTGAGAGACTCGCGCGGGCGTCGCTGGAGCTGCATCTGGCCACCGCCAGTAGCAACAGTAGCAACAGTAGCAGCAGCAGCTCGGGCAGGGCAGGCGCGGCAGGAGCGGCAGGCAGGCAGGCAGGTAGACAGGCAGGCAGAGGGCGCTGCAGTGCGCGAACAAGGCAGGTGCTCACCAGTGGCAGGCAGGGCCGGCGCTCGGCGGGCGGCGGCAGGGTAGGCGCACGACGGCGGCGACGGCGGGGCCACAGCAGCAGCTGCAGAGTAGGGCCGCGGCAGCTGCAGGGCGGGGCCGCGTCAGCTGCAGGGCGAGGCCGCGGCAGCGGCAGGTCGGGGCCGTGTCCGCTGCAGGGCGAGGCCGCGTCAGCGGCAGGTCGGGGCCGCGTCAGCTGCAGGGCTGGCGGGGCCGTGTCAGCGTCCGAGCGGGGTCGTGTCGGCGGCAGGGCGCGGCCGCGGCAGAAGCAGGTGGGTCGCGGCGCGCGGGGCTGCAGCGCGACGCGCGGGCAGCGGTCGCGGCGCGCGGGGCTGCAGCGCGACGCGCAGGCAGCGCGCGCGGCGCGCGTGGCTGCAGCGAGCCGCGCGCGGGCTGCCGAGGCGCGACTCGGGCAGGGTGGGCGACGCGGTGGGCAAAAAACGAGCCGCGCGCAGGAATTAGGTCTGCGCGCTCTAAGCAGCAGCAGATCGCACAGTCAGCAGACAGTAGGCAGCAGGCAGACGGCGCGCGCAGCGCAGCACGTCACAGGCACAGTCAGTCACAGTCACAGTCGTGGGGTAGCGGTAGGTGGGCCCGAAAAAAAAACGGTCCTACGGACCTACTGCTCTGAAACCATGTCAGAATCAAGAGACAGGAATGAATGAACTATCAGGGAGTTGGGTACAAGTATGAAACCCTAAAAGGGGTTGTACCCCATATTGGCTACCCCACTACAGCCTACACATGTACAACAAGCATATATTTTGACAATTGTGAGAGCTCCCGCATGTTCTGGGATAAGCAACCGCCAGTGGCGGCGCAGAGAGGGTGTTGTATGGGTGGTGCTAGATGTGTATGAACGCACACACATTGCATCCAGCTGCCAGGGAATATATTCACTGTAGTTCACCTTTGAATGAGAGGTACTACAAATTATCACAACAATAACGTAATGGTAGCACTATTTGGAGCAGAGATATAACCATAGAAGCCCACCCCACTTCATCATAGAGGAAATCACTTACACAATCGACATGGCCATGGCCGGTCCTTCTTGGTCTCCTAAAAATGGGCCCATATCCACATGGCACATGCTTTATTCAGACACCCTCACAGGGAGGGTATCAAAATGAAATCAAACCCATCTTTCCAGATACTCATGATGCACGTTTGTGTGCATTCACTGCTTCCCCCACTGCTTCCACCTGCACTCAATCCCGGAGTGCTTCATCCAGCACCCACAACCGCTGCAGCATCATCTCGTTCCACACATCGGGCACGCCGGGCAGACAAAAATGCCCGCAGTCCCTCACCCCATTGGGCAGGAGCGCCCATTTGCCCGGATGCCCGTCGCTTCTGAACAGGGTCGGCCGAGCCTGATCCAGCAGCACCACCTTCGCCCCTTGCGTTCTCCCCTCCGCCCTCTCCTTCCCATGCATCCCCGCTACAAGCTTCCTCATAACCCCATTATAAGGCTCCATCGTCATGTAGTTCCTGATAAACCGGTCATTAAGGAACCCCGTGGCGTTCACTGGAGCAGTGTGCGGGCACTCGCTCTTAAAGCCCTGGCCCGTGAAATGGGTAGCCGAATTAGTGGGAATAACGAGCACCTTGCCTCGCATGCGGTCGCTCTTAAAGACCTTCAGTGTCATCTCCCAAGCCTTCTGAAACCCCTCTGCTACTGACAGCTTTTGGTGGGGCGGTGCAAAGCGGAAGCCCGAGCCGTGGATCTTCTGCTCGGTCCACCAGTGACCTGTGGACACGTGGCGGAGATGGGAGACAGGAGGACAAAGTACAGATTAGCAAGGATCAAATCTCCACACAACATCACACAATGATCAGCATGTTGTAAAGGACTCTCCAAACTTCAGCCCCACGCAAACCTGCAGCTCACCCGAAGGTGAGCACCAAAATCAGCACCGCTTGGTGGTTGGGGGCAAAACTCCCCCATGCAACCTCCAACACAGCAAACAGCATACAGAAGTGGTTGTATGAGCGACTTTCCAGTAGTATTAGAGAACCACGTGAACGCGATTAGTATCATAGACATAAACAAATCATTTTTCCTCACCTGTGTTTATTACGAAAATATCGTGTTGATCCAGTCGCCGCATCCATCGCTCGTCCGGCTTGCCCAGGTCCATCACGCCGCCTCCCTTGGGCTTGCCGGGATCATCCAGTGTCAACTGCACCATGAAATTCGTGCGATAGAACGCGAGGGTGAAGTTACACGACGGCCACACGAACCCGCGCTCCAGTCCATTTGCCATGTTGATCCCCGCGAGATCCTCCGGCATTCCGTAGAATCCGTACATGAGACACGCGAGCGACTCGAACGTGTTGCGCGTGACGGAGTCGCCTATGAATGCGATACTCTTCCCGGCAACGAGGCTGCAGAGCGTGCGCTTAGTCAGCGTGGGAAGCGGGCAGCCCGGGGTTGTCCATCGGACGCGCTCGAACACGCGGTCCGGCCGGCCGTTTTTCACGCAGTTTTGATTTCCGTAGATGAACGGACACGTGGCATCGTACAGCGGCCACGTGGGATCCACCTGCCACGAGCCGCGTTCCATAGAGCAGCTCGTGCGCTCCTTGGGATTGCCGGTACTACCACCCGCGCCGCGCTGTGACGACCGCTCCAACACCTGCTTCTTCGTGACGGGCGAAACGTCAGTTACCAGATTGTCGTCCAACGGAAGAAGGGCGGGCCCCGTGGCGCCCTCCGGCGAAGCGCGTGAGAGCATGACGTCGTCGGCGGCATCCGCGCCGTCTACGGCCATGCCGTCATCGATGTAAAGCTCGACGCGCCCGACGGCGTTCGGGAGTGGCGGCCGTTGAATCGGCTGCGGCTCGAACACCGCCTGCTCGACCCGCTCGATATTCTTGACCAATCCCGTGATGCCAGCTAGACGCCTCCTCGCGACGTGGTGATGGGAGGAGTCGGAAAGGGTTTCTGTGCGGTCATGAGTGGATTCGCTGAGGTGCGATGCGGTGAAGGACTCGAGGAAGGAGGTGAGGGAGAAGGGTGTGGATGATGCTTCGGTGATTGTAACGAGCGGAATGACGAGCGATAATAGCAGTAGTCGTGATGCTCGTACCGCATCGGTGCGATGTGAAGTGCGCGCCATCTGTGGGAGTCGATGAAGCTTTCAAGTTGAACGACTATCTTGAATGAAAACTGAAGAGATGGAGTCTGTTCAACCTTCGCTACAGATTGTACGGATTTATGCCTATTATGAACCCATGGAGCAACGCGTTAGAAGCCAGACGCTTACGGCGATCTATCCAATATGCTCTTGCGGCCAGTTCTGAAGGCAGAACCAGCAAATCTGTCGCCAAGTTTCTAGTCAGAACTCCTTACCATGTATCCATCAAACCTATGATAGAAATGTCAACTTTAGCTTTTCATGGTCGGCGGTGGTTTGGAAGGAACTTGGGATGGGGTGGGGTGGGGTGATTCTCGCCCACACTCACTATGGTGGTGGTGGTACAGCAGTATGGCATGGTTGGTTGGTGTAGAGCATTGGGGTGGGGCCAATTTCGGGCAAGCGACAGCTGGGTGCGATTTTGCAACTATGGGCAATGGGCGGACAGGATGAAAGCGCGTCGGGAAATTCACATTGATGTCGGAGGAATGGCTGCGCTCTGATTTGCTTGCTAGCGTGGGCGCTGCGCTAATTCAGCGTGGAGAAGCGAGGGTGGGCGAAGACCAATAGGTGTAACAACAGGGCGGAGTGTGGCTGCGACAGGCTGTAAGCGAGTGGGGCGGCTGGCAGCGAGAGCAGGATTGTTGGTGTCGTAGTGGTATGCGGTGGGATGCGATAACTTTAACTTACCACAGAGAGAATGAAATTGCAAACACTAGTGTTTAGGGACGGAAAAAATCTTCACCTTCTTACTTTCCATTCCAACCTCTGAATTCACCCCACCTATGCAAAGTACAAGGTTATGCACCTACTTGTTGCAAAGATTCGGCTGGAGGTAAAGCAAAATATTTACATAATTGCAGATAACGCATGGCCTATTCTCTCGATTTCAGCCATAACTGGGCCAACAACATCTCATTCCATGCATCAGGCACACCAGGCAAGCAATAGTGCCCACAATCCACTGTACTCGATCCCGTATACACCCCCGGGTGCCCATCCTGCCGCCACACCGACGCCGCATGAATATCCAGAACAATCGCATCCGCCCCCGCCCAACCCCGCCTCCCCCTCGCCTTCCTGTACACCTCCACTGCACCCCTCACCACCGCATTGAACCCATCCATGTGCGAACCCGGGCGTTTGGCCGTTTGATTCACGTCAGGAGAGGGTTTAAGGGGTTCAGTGTAGGAGCATTGATTAGAGGAAGGTGACTCCTTGTGGCCAGGCACGCTGGTGGTAACCACCACAAGCTTGTTACCAAATTCAGCAGAGGAGAACGCAGAGAGCGCGGTGTTAAGGGCGGTGCGATAGGCAGAGAGGAGGGAGGTGGGGGAGGCGAAGGAGGAGTAGGGTGGAGAGAAGGGGATGCCTCCTAGCCAGAGGCGCTGCGGTGACCACCAGTGGGCTGTGAGATAGGTGGGGAGGGAGAGAGAAAGAGACACGAGGAGAGAGAGACACGAAGAGAGAGGGACATGGGGAGAGAGAGACATGGGGACATGGGGAGATGGACGGGAAAAGGGAATGACATGGGCAGGAACATGGAGAGAAGGGTATGCCTCCTAGCCAGAGGCGCTGAGGCGACCACCAGTGGGCTGTGGGGGGAAGACAGGGGACGAGAGTGACTTGGTCAAGAGCATAGAGAGAAGGGAATGCCTCCTAGCCAGAGGCGCTGAGGCGACCACCAGTGGGCTGTGGGATAGGTGGAGAGGGACGGGTAAGAGATGGGGTGAGAGACATGGGGAGAAAGATGCAGAGAGATACAGGGAGAGAGATGGGGAGAGTCACAGGGAGAGATGGAGAGTGACACGGGGAGAGATGGGGAGTGACACGGGGAGAGATGGGGAGTGACACGGGGAGAGATGGGGAGTGACACGGGGAGAGATGGGGAGTGACACGGGGAGAGATGGGGAGTGACACGGGGAGAGATGAGGAGTGACACGGGGAGAGATGGGGAGTGACACGGTGAGAGATGGGGAGTGACACGGTGAGAGATGGGGAGTGACACGGGGAGAGATGGGGAGTGACACGGGGAGAGATGGGGAGTGACACGGGGAGAGAAATGGGGAGAGGGACAAAGAGAGGGAATGACGTGGCAGGAACATCGAAAGAAGGGGATGCCTCCTAGCCAAAGGTGGTGGGGCGACCACCAGCGGGCTGTGAGATAAGTGGAGAGGGAGGGAGAGGGGAGAGACACAGAAACATGAAGTCAGAGACAGGGAGAGGGACGGGGAAGGGGAATGAGATGAGAAGGATTATGGAGACAAGGGGATGACACCTAGCCAAAGGTGGTGGGGCGACCACCAGTGGGCTGTGAGATAAGTGGAGAGGGAGGGAGAGAGATGGGGAGAGAGTTGGGGAGAGAGATACGGTGAGAGATGCGGAGAGGTACAGGGAAAGAAAACGACACGGGGGGAAACATCTCCAAATGATCTGCGTCAGACTACCTGTGTTGATCACGAACGTGTCATGCTCTGCCACGTGGCGGCCCCAGTGCATGTCCACGTGGCTCAGGTCCAGCTGGCCGCCCTTGCTGTGCTCGCCTGACACCGTCAGCGACAGGTTGGTGAGATAGGCGCTCCTAAAACATTGGAGGTGGAAGGAGGGGGTGGGAGTGGAGGAAGAGAGAAAGATGACCTTTGAGTCAACGCAAATGTCAGCCTCGCTGTGTTCGCCTGTCACTGCGAGCCACAGGCCGATGAGATGTTCGCTGTGTTCGCATGCACCTGTGAGAAAACAGTGTAAATAATAATCACTAGCTAGTAGCCGAGAGTCTGTGAAACTCGGCAGGGTTCAGACAGTGGCGTTGCAGGCAGGCCAGTGCAGCACGTGCTCCTGCTGCCCCACGGGCACAGGAGCACCAGAGCCCATGAGCACCAGAGCCCATGAGCACCAGAGCCCATGAGCACCAGAGCCCATGAGCACCAGAGCCCATGAGCACCAGAGCCCATGAGCACCAGAGCCCATGAGCACCAGAGCCCATGAGCACCAGAGCCCATGAGCACCAGCCCATGAGTACAAGTTCTTCTCTCTCCCCACCCCGTCACAAGTACAAGGCTCACCAGTAAAAGGCAATAGTGGTACAAGTTCTTCTCTCTCCCCACCCCGTCACAAGTACAAGGCTCACCAGTAAAAGGCAATAGTGGTACAAGTTCTTCTCTCTCCCCACCCCGTCACAAGTACAAGCCTCACCAGTAAAAGGAGACTGTGGCGTTGCAGGCAGGCCAGTGCAGCACCTGCTCCTGCTGCCCCACGGGCACGGGAACCGTGTGTGATGAGCCTGCTTTTGAGTCGACTCAAAAACAGGGGAGCCATGGAAGCGGTGCAGCAGGCAGATGAGCGACTGTTGGGTGGACTCAGAAGTCATCTTGAGTCGACTCAAAAGTAGATCACAGGAACCGGGGAGCCATGGAAGCGGTGCAGCAGGCAGATGAGCGACTCCTACCCATCTCCTACCTACCCCCCACACTCCCCCCTCCTCCCCCTTCCAACCACGAGGCTCACCAGTAGAAGGCGATAGTGGTATTGCAAGCGGGCCAGCGCAGCACCCGCTCGTGCTGCCCCACGCTCACAGGCTCCGGGGAGCCCTCCACTACCCCCCCTCCCCCTCCTCTCTCACTTCCCTCGCCCCTTGTTCACAACCATAAGCATCCCCACCGTACAAGACTCACCAGTAGAAGGCGACAGTGGTGTTGCAAGCAGGCCAGCGCAACACGCGCTCCTGCTGCCCCACGCTCACAGGCTCCGGGGAGCCATGGAAGCGGTGTAGCAGGCAGATGAGCGACTCGAACATGTTCTCCGTTAACGAATCGCCCACAAACGCGACGCTCCTGTTCGCCACTAACGAGCACAAAGTGTTCCCGTTGAGCTTCGGCGCGGGGCACCGAGGTTGCTTGTAACGAAGCCGCTGATATAGAGTATCTGGCCTGCCGTTTTCCATGCACTGATTCCCCGTGTGCCAGATTAAGGGGCAGTCTCCCGCCTTATAAAGAGGCCATTCCGAATCCTCCTCCCAAAACCCCTCGTTAGTGTCACATTGCGATTCCACGACCAATCCATCCAAACCCACTTTGACCTCCGCTAGTAGAGGGCCTTGATTGTTCTCCGTCAGCACAGAAGACGATAATAACGAGGATGAGGCCTCTTTACCGGATCCCATGCCATCCGCGACATAGAGTTCGGCTCTCCCCACGACATTCGCACGCTCTATCGGGTCGTCGCCTGTTGTCGCACGCGAATCCTGCTGCGACGCTGCGACAGTCGGATTCGGCTCTGCTTTCGCGAGGGACCCGGGAATGCGCGGGAATTCGCCAAGCTTCCGCCGAGTTGGTGGCTCGAAAACAGACTCCGCCTGTGCGACGGATCGCGAATGGCGACCTGCTGTGAAACTTTCGTTGGAAAGGAGCCGTCGTTCAATCGGAACGGGCGAGGAAACTGGTCGTGCGAGCGACAATCGTTGCGCTGCAGTTTGTTGCGAGAATAGTAACGAACGAGTTCGGTAATGCTTGAAGGAGAGGAGACTGCGTGATTTACGGCCTGTGCTGGATGGACGGTGGAGATTTGACGAGGAGATTGCGACGAGATGGGTGAGCAGTAGTAACGCGAGGAGGAGAGAAGAGCGACTCATTCTGCTGCCTAAACGGGGTAGCATAGTAACGAGAACAAAAAAGTTCCGCTCCAATTGTTCACCACACTATTCCGCTCCGTACCAACTCTGAAACATAAAGCACGGGCTTGTTCCACATCATCCCGCAACCTCGCACCGCTTCAGGCCGTTTGGAAGCTTCATTCCACACGCCCCTAGCGCGTCGTCGAGTCATACGCTGGGAAACTCAGCTGTGTGACCCCTACTTGTGCGGAGATAAGCGGTTCATATGTCTACTGGTGATCACAAAGCGACTCGTGCACTATGGCAGCAGGTGGGGAGGATGGATACACTTTTGTTGGACCTCGACAAGAGTTGCGTCGTTTCAGTACATGATTTACAGAATACGGTGTATTGAATTTTCAATTCCCAGAAGTAAGATGGGGAATTGCTGAAAGTGTGCACCCACCTGGGCAGGTGCCTGTCTGCAGTCCACATATCTTCCTCACTCTTTGTTCTTACGTAGAAGTGTGCATGTAGCTCAAGATTCGCGGGATGCTTCTAGTGAACCCATCCAGAATCGTGGACATATTCTGTTTCGTGCATGTAACCCTTCGTGAACGCGCTCGCCTGAATTCGCATACAGCCTAGCACCACCACACAGCTGCTGCTCTGGACCAGAGCAATCCCCCTCCCCATGCCATGTCGCGCCGCGGCGCGTGGTGTGGTTGCCGTCATTCAACCGACTAGCGCCGCCGTCTGCAAGTAGTTGCCGAGCTACTCTACTGTACAGTATCTCACCTCACCTTCCTCGTTGGAAAGCGCGCCCTCCTTGCTGTCCCGTCCATGGATGTCATCTCACGAGTCATTATCTCACGCACCATTTTCGATGCTCTTAGCCGTCTCGTTTTCGTGAATCGGCGAGCAGAGAGGAAGGGAAGATTAATCCAACAGCACGGCAGCGGAAGGCGTGCTTGCCGGGTGGATTGCGAATCGCGCTCCCCTTGCGCTGGCGAATATTAGCGAGTGCGTGACATTCGCGCGTGTTACCGACGGCTAACCCCAACCGCTGCGGCGCTCTGGCTAGCCGCCGTTGTGCCCAGTGGTTTCCCAGTAGTTTAACGGATATCGCGGTGTTAGGAAGCGCGTCAAAGGCGCTCGTCTTAGCGCGTGTGTAACATATTTCGCTGCCCCATTTGCCTTTCACGTCAGCAACTTCTCTTTTACGCCGCCTCGAGAACTCTCCGTATAAGCACCTCGTCGCACAGGATCTGTAGCGAAGTACCGTCGTCAGTATCGGGTTACCATGGACCCTAAATTTAGCGAACGTCGCGATTCCATGTTTCGCGTGTCGCCGAAACCACCAGCCGAGCAGTGCCCCTCTCACACGACAGTTACACCTTCTTCGCAGCAATTCGCCAAGGGCTCGGCGAAGTCGCCAGCTCGAGCAGCTGTAGCGAGCTGCGTATCCCTTCCCCGTCTTTTCGCTCTCCTCGTACTTTTAGGGTGCGCCGGCTTGTGGCCGGCTTTTATCCGCACCGCCGCGAATCACGGCGACGATCGCGGCGCTAACAGCGGGGAGACCGGCTCAGAGTCGTCGGATAGCCTAGGCACGGGAAGCGGCTTCTTCGGCGTGTTTGGCGGGCCGTCCGCGATTCGCGGCGGGTTCTCCGCGCGGCAGCTGATGGAGATGACGTCAGAAGGCGCTTTAAGGGATGGAGGGCGCCGCGAAGGGGGGACCATGCTGACGTGGCGCGACGATGTAACTGTAGCGGAAGGGCAAACGGAGATGGGGGAAGGGGGAAAGGAGGAAGGGGCGGGAGAATCAGCGATGGCGGAGGGGGAGGCGGAAGGGGAGCATACGGAGGGAGGGGAGGAGCGCGCAAACCCTGCTAGCCCGTCTATTGCGCCAGACGCAGCGCTCGCCACGGCATTCCGCGCGCGGGAGCGAGGGGCGGACAAAGCGCCTGAAGCGCTGCGCCCTGCCTCGGGGGACGAGGAGGCGGCGCGGGAAGCGGAGGGCGCGGAAAGAGGGGTGGGGATGGGGGATGGGCGGAGGGAGGGAGGGGAGGGAGGAGAAAGAGGAGGAGAGGGAGGCAAGGAGGGAAGCGTGGATGGAAGGAGGGACGGGGATGACAGAGGAGAAATGGGAGTAGGGGAGGGCGAGAGAAGGGGATTGGGGGGAGGGGAAGGAGAAGGGCAGGGAGGAGGGGAGGGAGGAGGGAAGGGAGGAGGGGAGAGAGGAAAGGGAGGGAAGGGAGGGGAGGAAAGGGAGGGAGTGGTGAGAGGGAAGGGAGGGGAGTGGGGGTGGCGGTGGGTGGACGAGAAGGACGCATCCTGGCCGCTCTACTCCGCTGCATCCTGTCCGTTCATCTTCCCTGGGCAGAACTGCCGATCCAACGGCCGCAACGACACGAGGTTTGAGCGATACGCGTGGCGGCAGGGCGGGGAGAGGAGCGGGGACGGCCAGGAGGGATGGGGGGGAGGGAAGGAGGTGGGGGGACAGGAGCGGTGGTGTGATGCGCTGCGGGGCGTGCGGCATGGGAGAGGGGAAGGTGCCATGACACCCAATGGAATGATGACACGTGTGGCGTATGTGGGAGACAGCATGATGCGCAACATGTTTGAGAGCATGGCGTGCATGCTGCATGCGCACCCCGTGTGTGGCGGCAATCCCAAGGTGGTGCGGGCGAATGTGGTCGAGCGAATCATCCGATGGGACACCTGCAACGTTACCCTCGCTAGTCTCAGGTACACCCGTTGCTGTGCCACACATGAGCCGGCAATCCCGAGGTGGTGCGGGCGAATGTGGTGGAGCGTGTGATCAGATGGGACACCTGCAACGTTACCCTCTCTAATCTAAGGTAACCCCATTATTGTGCCACACACACTCTCTGAGCCGGCCGGCATGTTCCCCATCCCCCCCTCCCACCCCCCATCCCCCCAAGGAGCAGCCTCCTCACTGAAATCCCCTTCAAGAACCTCAGTGAAGGTTCTTACCACACTCCCCCACACCGCACTTCACCGCTCCCTGCCCCTCCAATTCCCCCCCCCAAGGAGCAGCCTCCTCACTGAAATCCCCTTCAAGAATCCCAACCATGGACGACCTCGATCGCACCACTCAATACCTCTCTTGCTTACCACACTCTCCCACCACACCGCACTTTACCGCAATACCTCCCCCTCCCCGTGCTTGAAACACGCCCCTGTACCGCTCATCACCGCTCCCTGTCCCCCATATCCCCCCCCCAGGAGCAACTTCCTCACCACCCCCCCACATTGCACACCATTTCCCTCCCCCATTCCTCCCCCACCCCCAGGAGCAACTTCCTCACGGAGATTGCATTCAAGGACCCCACGGACGAGTTCAAGGGCGCCACTCTGCACCTCTCACTCACCGCTTCACACCCCCCCATACCGCACATCACCGCTCCCTGTCCCTCCAAATCCCCCCAGGAGCAACTTCCACACGGAGATCTCTTTGAAGGACCCCAGGGATGAATTCAAGGGCGCCACTCTGTACCTCTCCCTGCTTGACACGCCCCCGTACTGCACACTCACCGTTTCATATCCTCCCACACCGCACATCACCGCTCCCCGTCCCTCCAATCCCCCCCCAGGAGCAACTTCCTCACGGAGATCTCTTTCAAAGATCCAACGGACGAGTTCAAGGGCGCCACTCTGTACCTGTCTCGTCCTGACAAGCGGTGGAAGCAGCGGATCAAGAACTATGATGTGTTTGTCATCAACTCAGGTGAGGGCGATGGTAGTGATGGCTGTGTGTGTGTTTGTATGCATGCACTTTGAATACACTCTGCACCTCTCTCGACCGGACAAGCGGTGGAAGCAGCGTGTGAAGAATTACGATGTGTTTGTGATCAACTCAGGTGAGGGAGGTGCACGTTCAGTACACATGCACAATGCGTGCAACACACATATGCCACTCTGTAGTACCTGTCTCGCCCGGACAAGCGGTGGAAGCAGCGTGTGAAGAACTACGACATGTTTGTGGTCAACTCAGGTGAGGGTGGTGGTGATGGCTGTGTGTGTGCTGCCGTGCAACACCCATGCATCTCTTTCGTCCCTACAAACGGTGGAAGCAGTGGGTCAAGAACTACGGCGTGTTTGTGATCAACTCAGGTGAGGGTGGTGGTGCTGGCTTCTGGTGTGTATAGTGCATGGCATGCATGCGGCTTGAATACACTCTGTACCTGTCTCGCCCCGACAAGCGGTGGAAGCAGCGGGTGAAGAACCACGACATGTTTGTGATCAACTCAGGTGAGGGAGGTGCACGTTTAGTACACATGCACTATGCATGCCACACACATATGCCACTCTCTCTCGCCCCGACAAGCGGTGGAAGCAGCAGGTGAAGAACCACGACATGTTTGTGATCAACTCAGGTGAGGGTGGTGGTGATGGCTGTGTATTTACATGTTTACACTTGCATACATACACACACACACACATCGCTCTCTCTCTTGCTGCTTTTCTCTTGTCACTCACCTTCCACTCTCAACTCCCCTTGCTCCATCGCTCCCTCAACTCCCCCCTCTCTTCTTCTCCCACCTCTCTCCTTGATCATGCGCTTCCTCTTTACCCAGGCCACTGGTGGACACGTGGCAAGCTCGCAGAGCGCCACGTCAGCTTCTCCCCACCCCACAAATCCCTTAACATCCTCTCTGCCTTCCGCCGAGCCATCCGCACCACTCTGCACCGCTTTGCATCGCGCCATATGACTAACAAGACCGTCATCATTACCACCTCCTCCCCCAACCACTTTTCCCATAAGCCCTCCTCTCCCCATTCTCGTGACCACACAACTAACTCCCACTCCTTTCAGAGTACCGCACTGAACTCCCTAGAATCCCCACTTGGCCAAGACTCTGATGCTCTAGACACTTAGCTAAGCGGCGAAGATTGCTTGAGACAAGCAGTGCAAAGAAGCACTCTAAGAGTAGAAAAAGCAAATCCGTTAAGAAACGGGGGCAGTGCGATGCGGCGGAGCCTGTGGACAGTGAGGAGGAGGCTTTTAACGAGTACGAAGAACAGTGGGAGCGAGTAGAGCGGTTGAATGCGGTGGTGAGGGAGGAGGTGAGGGAGTATCAGAAGACCCAGAGGGAGAGAGAGGAGAAGAGGAGGAAGAGAGTAGGAGAGAGCGAGGCCGGGAGCAGGAGGAGGAAATTACTGCAGGTGGTTGGCGGTTCAACAGCAGCAGCAGAAGCAACAGCAGCAGAGGAAAATTTCTCCAGGCGGAAAGCTTTGCTACATGCAGGGCGGCAAGCGATGCTCAATGCAAACAGCTCGTTGCAAATCGCACGCTTGTCGCAGCACGGGGGCACAGCAGGCTGGGCCTTACAGCAGCAGAAGGCATCAATGCAGCAGCAAGGGCTGCGGGAAAAGGAAGGGATGTTGCACAAGGAAGGGTTGCGGGAAGAGGAAGGGTTGCGGCGCAAGGGATTGCGAGAGGGAGAGAGGGTGGAGAGGAGAAGGCTAGAGGGAGCGAGAGTGGAGAGCAGAAGGCTAGAGGGACAAAGGGTAGAGGGACAAAGGGTAGAGGGACAAAGGGTAGAGGGACAAAGGGTAGAGGGACAAAGGGTAGAGGGACAAAGGGAAGAGGGACAAAGGGTAGAGGGACAAAGGGAAGAGGGACAACGACAGGAAGTGCGAAGGCCAAATGGAGCAAGAGTGGTGTTGTTAGAAGTGGCAGCAATGAGTGTGATGAGACACGACGGGCATCCAGGTGTCTTCTCGGGATTGGCGGGCGGACAGGCCGACTGTGCGCATTGGTGCTTGCCAGGCGTGCCTGACGCGTGGAACGAGCAGCTGCTAAGGCTACTCTGCTGAGCTTAGGGAAATGCTCAGCAGCTGCTGCGATCAGTGTAACATTACTAGTATACCGCATTGTCCAAGGCCGACTGCGCCCACCATTGGTGCTTGCCAGGCGTGCCTGATGCATGGAATGAGCAGCTGCTAAGGCTGCTGTGCTGAACTCTAGTGAACTCTGTATTCTCAATGTCAACAAGTCTATATTGGATTGCTCAATAGCTGACTGCGCCCACTGGTGCTTGCCAGGCGTGCCTGACGCGTGGAACGAGCAGCTGCTAAGGCTACTCTGCTGAGTCAGGGAAATGCTCAGCAGCTTCTGCGATCAGTGTAACATTACTAGTATATCGTATTGTCCAAGGCTGAATGCGCGCATTGGTGCCTGCCAGGCGTGCCCGACGCGTGGAACGAGCAGCTGCTAAGGCTACTGTGCTGAGCTTTAGTAGACTATTGCCAATGTCACCAAGTGTATATCAGATTGCTCAATAGCTGACTGCGCCCACTGCCGCTTGCCGGGTGCGCCTGATGCATGGAATGAGCAGCTGCTAAGGCTAGTGCTGAGTTGGAGAAACACGTATCCAGTATGATAGCCAGCTCCAGTGCAAAAGCATCGCATATGCAAGTGACTCCAATATCTACGCCTGATGCTTGGAATGGAATGAAGTGAGTAAGCACTTTCAGGGTACTGTAATGAAATCAGCAGTAATAAAAAGCATCCAGTCAGGAACAGAGTACACAGGTGCACACTTCTACAGTAAAGGCATGCAAAACCAAGCAGCAGACAGCACTACTGCTTGCTCTATCTCCCACATTCCCGTGCATTTATACCGTAAGCTCATCAGCTACACTCGTGGCTGAATGTGATACTGCTTGATTGCTGACCATGGCCTGGTCGCACTGTCTGAAATGTTTGATTGAATAAAAACCTTTCTTTATTGAAAGCAAGCACATACACACAACACAAGGCAAGCTAAGGGAGTCAGCCCACCACGTGTCAGGCTAGACTGACCAATGATAGCCTGGCTCCCTCCCCTCCCCCCCTTCCCTCTGGTCCTGAGAGATTCACAACCCGACCTAATTTCATCCTGCATCGCTACCAGTATTCTTGACCAGCCACTGGCTCTTTCCCGCTTTCATGCTGATGGCTGCGGGGTTGCGGAGGTAGTAGTATGGTGGTGTTAGTGGCGGTGATGGTTGATGATTGTGACAATAGCGGTGGGAGTGATAGTGGTGGTGATGTTAGGAGTACTGCTCATGTCGATGGCGTGGTGATGCTGCTGAAGCCACTGCTACGGCTGCTGCTTCAGTTTAAGCTACAGCCACTGCTACAGATGTTCGTGTCGATGGTGCTGGTGGTGCTGCTGAAGCCACTGCTACAGCTGCCACTGCTACAGCCGCGACTGCTGCTGTACATCTACAGTTACACGTTCTGCCGCACGATAGCCAGCTCAGCAGCAGCAGCCGCCAATGCTGCTGCTACAGTCACTGCTACTACCACCGCTGCTACAGCCGCCACTGCTGCTCTGTACAGCTGCTGCTAGACGTTCTGCAGCACAATAGACAGCTCTGCAGCACTGCTAAAGCTCTGGGGCGTCTTGCAATTCGCCAGGTGCTTGCAGTTGAGAAGACCCCCCGTGGCCCCACATGTGCACTGGGAGCAGCGGTCCCCCGGCTTGGGCATGCCCTCTATTCCCGCCATATAAAATTTAGGTCCCCAGCTGGGCCCCGCCGCCCCGCATATGCCCTCTGTATGGAGGGAGTAGGGAAGGGAGAGGAGAGAGCACTGAGAGAGCAGCTTTCTCTGCGAGCAGCGGTCCCCCGGCTTGGGCATGCCCTCTATCCCTGCCATGTAGAACTTGGGTCCCCAGCTGGGCCCTGCTGCCCCATAGATGCCCTCTGTGCAGGTGAAGGGGGGGAGGCAGGGCGGAAGGGTGTGTGGGTGTGTGAGCATGGGTGTGTGAGCATGGGTGTGTGAGCATGGGTGTGTGAGCATGGGTGTGTGAGCATGGGTGTGTGAGCATGGGTGTGTGAGCATGGGTGTGTGAGCATGGGTGTGTGAGCATGGGTGTGTGGCTAAGGCAATCATGCATGTGTATGGCATGGGTTTGTGGGCATGCAGGTATGGGTATGTGGCAAATGATGCGCCTATGGGGTTAGTGATACGCCATCGGGAGGGTGGTAACCAGGTAACTTACGGATGCCAGAGAAGACGCACACGCCCTTGTCCACAGGCAGACCCTTGTCCTTTCAAAGGCAATCACGCATGGGTGAGGCATGGGTCTGTGTGTGTGCCGGTATGGGTATGTGGCAACTGATGCGCCTATGGGGCTAGTGATACACCATGGGAAGAGGGTGGTAACCATGTAACTTATGGATTCTGGAGAACACACACACGCCCTTGTCCACCGGCAGACCCTTCTTGTCCGTTTGAAGTCATATTGGCACATGGGCAAGACATTAGCGTGTGGGTGTGGCACCATGACGAGAGTGGTAACCAGGTAACTCACGGATGCCAGAGAAGACGCACACGCCCTTGTCCACAGGCAGACCCTTCTTGTCCTTGCCGCCTCCTCCTATCTTGGTAATCACACACCTGGCATGTGTAAGAGGGGCATGAGGGGTCGAGGGGGCAGGTGTCGTGAGGACGAAGGGAAGGGCGGGAGCAGGCGTAAATGGTTGGTGCAGAGAAATGACAATGGAGCAGAATGTCTGACAGGGAGCATTGAGAGAACATGAGAGCTGGAGAGCACGAGAGGGAATGCAAATAGATGAGGATTCAATGTGATGGACAGGAGACGGGTTGGGAATGATATGTAATGAGATGTGTCGTCATAAGGGATCCGATCCAATCGATCCGATATGATTTGATTGCATACATGTTTTGCTCTGTCGGGCAGCGAAACTTTCCCACGGGCTGCCCGTTGTAGTCAACGTAGCAGGCGGGCAGCGAGGAGCAGGAACAGACTGCCCGGTTGGGGCCCGGCATTTTCCTCCGGTAGGAGCAGTCACAAGACTTGCAGAGCGCGTTGCCCTGCACGCCCTTGGTGCCCACGGCGTACGGTGTACCAGCATAGCGACAAAAAGACCCCCCTGGTGGTGGGAGGGGAACAGGAGGTGGTGGGAGAGGTGAAGAGAGAGTGAACATTTTCCTCCGGTAGGTGCAGTCACACGTCTTGCAGAGCGCGTTGCCCTCTATGCCCTTAGCTCCCACAGCGTATGGCATGCCGGCATAGCGACAGAAGGAGCCCCCTGGTGGTGGGAGAGGGGGATATGGGAAAGAAGAGGCGGAGGGAGTGGGGGTGAGATGTCTCAAACAGAGCGCGTTGCCGTGCACGCCCCTGGTTCCCACGGCGTACGGCGTGCCGGCATAGCGACAGAAGGAGCCTCCTGGTGGTGGTGGGAGGGGGGGAAGACACGGGAAAGAAGAGGCGGAGGGAGTGGGGGCGAGTCGTCTCAAGAGAGCGCGTTGCCCTGCACGCCCTTGGTTCCCACCGTATGGCGTGCCGGAATAGCGACAGAAGGAGCCTCCTGGTGGTGGGAGGGGGAATGGGAAGGCAAGGCAGTGAGACGCCTGGAGGAGAGTACTGCCTTCCATGCCCTCTATGCCCTTGGTGCCCACCGCGTATGGCGTGCCGGCATAGCGACAGAAGGAGCCCCCTGGTGGTGGAGGTGGGAGAGGGGAGAGGAGATGGGGAAGGGGATGGGGATGTGACAGGGGGAAAGCAAAGGGCGGGAGAGGGGGAAACGATGAGCATGGGGAAACGGGGAAGACGAAAGGGAGAGGGGGAGACAGCAGAAGAGAAGGAAGAGCCGGCAGGGGAAGGGGGAGGGTTAGTGGGGGACGGAGAGCGGCCAGCGAGGAAATGGGGAGAGCAGGCGGGGAAGGGGAGGCACGGGGGGGAAAGAAGAGTGGCGGCGGGGGAAGGGCGAGGGCGGCGCGTACTGGTGTAGGGTGGACTTGCAGCGGCCGACGTACTTCGTTTCTTAAGGCGCCCGAGAAACACCATGTCGGGAAAGGGAGAGCACAGGCGGGGGAGGGAGGGGAGCAGGCGGGGGAAAGGGGAAGGCTAGCGGGGGAAGAGGGGGGGCGGCGAGGAAAGGGGGAGGCGCGTACTGGTGTAGGTGGAGTTGCAGCGGCCGACGTACTTGGCTTCAGGCGCGGACGGCACCCGAGTCACCACGCAACTGCGGGGAGTGACAGAGAGAGACGGCAGGGAAGGGACGGGGAGAGACGGGGAGTGACGTCGTGCTTCGCTTGCGCCGCCGACGGCACTGAGCCACCATGCAGCTGCGGGGAGACGCGCGGGGAGGGGGGGGGGGGAGTGACGGCGAGAGACGAAGAAACGACGGAGTGGTTCAGTGCGGGAGCGGAAGGGAACGGAGAGATGATCCGCCTGCGCTGATTGCGGCGACAGTTACACGCGCGCGTGTTCATTTGCGCCCACTCACGCGCACGCACTCACTTGCGCGCACTCACGCGCACGCACTCACTTGCGCCCAGTCACGCGCGCGCACTCACTTGCGCCCAGTCACGCGCGCACACTCACTAGCGCCCAGTCACTTCACTCACTTGCGCTTGTTTCCACGGCAGAAGGGGTACACGGGCCGCCGCTCGCTGTCGAGGTAACACGTGGCGCCGTCTGGGAGCGACGCGGACCCCGACGACGCGATGGCGTGGGCACCTGGGGATGCACGAGGGGGGGAGAAATGAGACGATGCGGTGGGCGAAAAGGGGGAACTTCTGAGTCGACTCAAGAGGACCCCGACGTGATGCCATGGGCACCAGGGGATGCACGAGGAGGCGCGCGGAATGGAGGGGGGCGGAAAATAGAGGGGGGCGGAATGGGGGGGGAAATCAGATGATGCCGACGCCATGGGCAAAAGGGGGGAGCTCTTGAGCCGACTCAAGAGGACCCCGACGACGCGATGGGCGTGACCACCTGGGGATGCACGAGGAGGCGCGGGGAAAAGGAGCGCGACAGGGGGAAAGGGGGAAAAAAGGGGGGGGAAAGGAATGAGATGGTTGGGGGAAGGGGGGAGGAGAGGGGGATGGGGGGGAATATTTTCGCCTTGAGGGGATTTCGTGCGAGCGCTTGTGACGTTCCGCGCATGCAGCAGGCGCGGGGAGCGGCGGAAGATTCGTGCGCGAGGCACCTGTAGACGGGAATGCGCGGGGAGGCGCGCACCTGAGCGAGCGGGGGAAGGGGGGGCGGGGCGGGGCGTACCAGGGGGAGCGGGGGAGGTGCGCACCTGGGCGAACGGGGGAGTCGCGCACCTTAGCGAGCGGGGGACGCGCGCGCACCTGAGCGAGCGAGGGAGAAGGGCACCTGAGAATGCGGCGAGGAGGACTAGAACGGGTAGTAGCAGCCGGGTCATGGCTGCGGTGGGAGGAAGCCGCGCGATGGGAGCTGGTCTCGGGGCGCGAGACGAGGCGCGAGGCGGCCTTGCGAGGCGATGACACCCAGTGGGTGCTTGCTGTGGTCGATGGTGGCTCGGCAAACGGGCTGCTTTTGATGGAATGCTGCACCTAATGTGAAATGCGCTTCTGAAGTGGAAGCTATTTCGTCAATCCAAAAGCTACTATTTGGTCGACAAGTAGTGGGGAGAAATGATCGCGGCGTGCTTTTATGCTGGAGTTCGAGACGCTAGTGATGGTCACATAAATCAGGGTTTCGCGAATGTCGGACGGAATCTATCACGGACCCGAGCTTGATGACTTGAAGCGAACTGGAAGCGAATGGAGTGGACTCCACTCAGTGGAGGAGAGACCTATCGTTGTCGTCGGGTTGGGGTGAGGTTACTCAAAGGTGGTGGGTGGTTGGGTTTCTCGAGGGATGGGGTGTCGCACAGATGGGACAATGTGGCGCTAGGGCGCGTAACTTTTTCACTCTTCATCGTCCGGACAGAGCCCCGTTCGGACTTTTGTAGGGTGTAGATTTCGCCAAAACTCGTTAGACAATTCGCAAGACCCCTTGCGACGTCGCCATCGTCCGTACTATGACTGACACCTTTTTGTCGAAGCATCGTCCTTTCTACGCCGCTGAACTGTCCGGACAGCATTTCGGACCATCCGGAACTCCTGCAACGTCATTGGCACGCGAAGCAGGGTTTTCATCAATTTTGACGACTCGATTTCCAAGCCGCCGAAGCATGGTCGCGAGTTGGGCGATGTTCTGGCGATATAGGTTATGCGCGTTACTTTCTCGCACAATTGTCAATTTTCGTAAGCAGCAAAAAAGTGTCACAACTGTGGTACGGACGCCCTATCGTCCGAACCACATCCCCTACCATCCGGACGGAGCTCCGTTCGTACGATTTGGGGGCTCCGTCCGGACATTTGACAGAAACGGAAACAAATACACGCCCTAAATCGACGACGGGAAGCAACGAAATGTGGGCGCAACGTGGCTAGGCGAATGGTGTGGATGGATGACGGCGAGATGTGAGAAAGGCAGGGGAGGGTGGAACTGTTTTCCAGCACAGTACACCCAATGTTTGGGTGTCGCGTACAAGGGGTGGTTGGTTGGGCGGGTGATGAAGAGGGGCAGCCGAAAATGTCCGACGGCTGGGATGGAAAGGGAAGAGGGATGGGAAACACCCGTTGGACGAGAAGAAACGGCTGCGACAAACACGGTTCGATTGCGGAAACTTCAATGTCGAAGGAGCCCGTTGGAAAAGAAATACAGCACCAGCAACTTGTGGCTCGTGAGCGACGGCAAATTCGCTCGCGACGAGGTGGTTGGGTGTGGTGCTTCAACGACTATCAGGAAATTCGCGCCTGCGAAGTGATTTATTGAAATTGTCGCACAAAGCGATTCGGCATGAAAATGTTTCCGCCGTCGGCCCAACAGGGACAAGCGTGAGTGCAAGAATTGTCGGTGATTCGCTCGGAATATTGTTTGCGGAGAAATACAAAAATGCCGTTTACAAGGAGACTCGTGTTCCGGAATAGAAAGAACTGTAATAGACAAACCATGGCAGCTTCGGGTAATTTCTCTAGTAACAGCTCCACAATGAAACAAAAGGGCTTCAATAACTACACAAATCTCAATAAAAGTTTTGTAATAATGTAACAAATGGTATGCTGATATAAATACCAACAATTATTTTCATAACGTACACTATGAAGCTCACACAAATTTGACAATTGTATTTATATACAAGCAAATCATGCAAAGCGTACTTCTAAAGTTAATTACAGTCTTCCTCTAACGAATCAATGTTTTAGCATCAGGGCATCGTTGCAACACAGCCTCCTGGAAATGTCATTTCCTCAGCGGACCGCAATCTCCGAGATGGTACGGTACGTGATGATTGTATGGGGCAGTAAACCCTCCGACCGGGGCAGGTTCCTGTGGAGAAATCAAATATCAGGGTAACGCCACGCTTTCTTGCAAGCTCTCGGATTGTCAGGTGGTACCTTCAAAGCTCGTAGGGCAGGCTCGGCTTGGATGGAGCATGAAAATGGCCACTAAGTAGTCCCTCCCCCCTCCTTGCCGACCGTCGGAACCAATAAAACTGGAAATGTCAGTGCCAGGGTCGATGAGTTGCCAAGAGATTCGTTTAGATTCCAAGGGTGCAGGGGTTCACTGACACTGAAATCGGTAATCAGGTAGCACAGGGAATGCTGGTGAAAGAAGGGGTAATCTATAGTCACGATTACTGGGAGTTAAAACAAAAGTTTAACTGCAAACCCTCGAAACATTCTCGCGTCTCCAGGTTTGTTTTGCATTTCATTTGCCATTGGTCGGCGCGGTTGCTGCCATTGCCAAAGTGTCCCCATCTGGGGAATGTCCAACGCGCCTCCCTGAGATTTCTTTCCCTCCCTCCCTTCACCACCCTTCCGCCTCCTTTCTGCCAACCTCGTCCCATCGTATCCCCCTCCCCATCCCATCCCTCCCCAACGCGGCTCTCCTGCTGCTGTGCTGTCTTGCATTTGCTCTTGTACAAGCTCTGATCTTCAAGAATCTGTTTCTGGCTTGCTTGGCCTTCCAGTTACGTCCCGTCAAACACGTTTGTTTCTCAGCACGAACTTCGCATTTTCACAATATTTATCGTCCACTATAGCGCTGTTTTACATTATCGCGTGCGCTGCTTCCGCTCTCTAGCTTTGAAAATCGGACAAAATCCCACTTCTGCCTTTTGAGCTTGAAATAATTTGGCGCGCGCATCGCTGTGTACAAAAGCGCCGATTAACAGCGAGACTTCGCTGAATAATAAACGTGTTCTTGGCGCAAATGGCGGCTGCGCTATGGAAACACGGCTTCACAATGAACCGACGCCTCTCAACAATCATTTTGCTTGCTGCCGTTCTTACCGCCGCGCAAATAACGGCTGTTTCGTCACAAGGTACTACTTGCTACTATTTTTCAGACTGTCATATTATGTTACTCTCCAAAGCCATCATATGTTTTTCGCTCACAATCTCAGAGGCTAAAAGCCTTTGCGATTGATTCAGTTCGAGCGTAACATTGGATCGCATGATGATGCTGCCACGCGGAAAAGGTTTGAGCCCAAAACCGTGTTAAGTATGAAGTCTGCTGGAAAGTTGCGGATACGTTGCGAAAAGTATCCGAAAAAACAATGTGCCGTTTCCGCAACAATGTGAGATGAAAGCGGTGATCTCCACAAGGTTTCCGATCATATAAGATGCTGCGTCTTTGCTTCTTATTCTTTCTTTTGTTTGTTTGTTTTTTGTTTTGTTTTGTTTTGTTTTGTGTGTGTGTGTGTGTGTGTGTGTGTGTGTGTGTGTGTGCGTGTGTGTGTGTGTGTGTGTGTGTGTGTGTGTGTTGTGTGTGTGTGTGTGTGTGTGTGTTGTGTGTTTGTGTTGTGTGTTAGTTTTTTTTTTTTTTTTTTTTTTTTTTTGTACGACCCCTTGCCATTTTGAATCCACTCACTAACTGTCCTCGGTGCTCCTCCTTATCGTTTCCTATGCACCCCCCCCCCCCCCCCCCCCCCCCTCTCAGCGTACAATCCTTGTACGGATGTCCCGTGTGGCATCGGCGGCACATGTAGCTGGGACAGTCAGTATACGTGGACGTGCTCGTGCTATAGCGGGTACGCGGTCTTCACCACCTCGTTCGACTTGGCCGGCGTAACCGTCTCCGGACAGACGTGTGTTTGTAAGTCCGTGCAGCTGGGACAGTGATTGTACTTGAAACGAGCTTGTGCTATAGCAGGTACACGGTCTTCACCACCTCGTTCGACATGGCCGGCGCCTCCGGGCACCGTGTGTGTAAGCCATGTATCTGGGACAGTGGCTGTACTGAGTCGCGATCGTGCTAGTGCTGTATCGCGTACAGCCATTCATATCTGTGAGATGAGAGGAAGCATATCTTCTCTGTTTCGCTCACCTTTTCACGCACCTCCCCACTTATTCTGTCTCACCTCCCCGCTTTCCATCCTCTGTCCGAGCCGCTTCCCTACGATTTAGTAGACCACTCATTCTGCCTTCTCCCCTCTGCTCTCCTCTCTCCTCTCCCCTCTTCTTTCACCCCCCTCACGCAATCTCTGCTCTTCACTCGATGCCCTTCCGCCTCACTACCCTCCCTTGTCTCACCCTTTTTCGTTTCTCCCTTGTCCTCTGTCTCCCGTACCCCCTTCCCCCCCCGTCCCCCACCCTCCCCTCCCCCTCACCTCCTTTTCCCTCTCTTTTCCCCAGCTGCAAGCTCCTCCCCCTCTTACTCCTCCCCCTCTTACTCCTCCCCATCCTACTACTCCTCCCCCGCCCCTCCTTCCACCAACTCCTCCTCCTCCTCTTCTTCCTCTAAGGGCCTATCCACGGGAGCAGTGATAGGCATCGTGGTGGGAGTGATTCTACTGCTGCTGCTGCTGGGGGGAGTGGGTCTCTTTCTCTGGTTCAGGCACAAGAACAAGGCCAGTGGGGCTGATAAGCCTGGCCAGGCGTACGGGGGAACCGCGGCAGTAGGGGCTGATCTAGAGGCTAATAAGGGGTATGCTAACCCCTATTATGCGGGTGGTGGGGGGAGCGGAGGGGGGAGCGGAGGGGGGAGCGGAGGGGGGAGTGGAGGGGGGAGCGGGGGGTGGGGTGGAGGGGGAGGGGAGAGCGGGGGGGATGGCATGGCGGCTCCAGTGGCTGGGGGATACGGGGGATCAGGAGGGGCAGGGGCGGCAGCGTATGGGGCAGCAGGAGCAGGGGGGGCGTATGGGGCAGCAGCAGCAGCAGGGGGGGCGTATGGGGCGGCAGGGGGGGCGTATGGGGCAGCAGCAGGGCCTCAGGCGGGGATGGGATCTGGGTCTGGGTCTGGGAACGTCATTCACCCCATGTACATGGGAAGTGAGTATGCTTGTTCCCTCTATGGCATGCGCAAGTTGAGACAGTTTATAAGTGCCCCAATGTCGGGTCTGGGAACGGCATTCATCCCATGTACATGGGAAGTGAGTATGCTTGATTCGTGTGTGGCATGACCCATGCTCCATGCCCCTTACCCCTTGGCCCATGGAGCGTATGGGACAGCAGCAGGGCCTCAGGCGGGGATGGGGTCTGGGTCTGGGTCTGGGAACGTCATTCACCCCATGTACATGGGAAGTGAGTATGCTTGTTCCCTTTGTGACATGCCCCGTGCCTAATGACCCATGACCCATTACTGTCATCAATGACCCATAAAATTGTGACCCATGATGACTGCATAACCATTTACACCCCACAATTATGACCCATGACCCATTACTGCCATCCATGACCCATGATTCGTGACCCATAATGACCGCATGACCATTCACTCCCCACAATTATGACCCATGATGACTGCATGACCATTTGCACCCCACAATTATGACCCATGACCAGGAAGGTAGGACCATGCCCCGCATCTTTTTTCCTGTTCTCCTTTTTATAGTCAATACTTCGATTTAATTCAACAAATCGTTACTTTGTTCCGTCACGCCTCCTCACGTCCGTCCAGGTGGCATGTACCAGCAGCAGCAGCCACATCAGCACGCCAACGTGGCACCACAGCAGCCGCCCCAGCAGCAGCAACCAGGAGCCTTCCAATCACCTCCGTCCGTCTGCCAACAATTCGCCCTTGCTGACCTGGCGCGGGCCACGGGTGACTGGGCGGAGAGCAACCGGATTGGCAGCGGCAGCTTTGGTGACGTGTACAGGGCTGTCAGTCCCTTCGATCCCTCTGTGCTGTGGGCTGTGAAGCGAGCTCGCGTGCTGACAAAGGACTTCCAGCGAGAGGTACGTGAAACGTGCTCGACTTATCTATGCCTTGCTTGACGTGTACAGGGCTGTTAGTCCATTCGATCCCTCTGTGCTGTGGGCCGTGAAGCGAGCTCGAGTCCTCACCAAGGACTTTCAACGAGAGGTATGCACACTGCACCCAGCAGCACTTCTCTGCACCTAGCAGCACCGCACTGCACCCAGTTTTGAGATGTCTCAACACGTGGCGTGTACAGGGCTGTCAGTCCCTTCGACCCCTCTGTGCTGTGGGCCGTGAAGCGAGCTCGCGTTCTCACCAAGGACTTCTAGAGAGAGGTATGTGCACTGCACCCAGCAGCACCGCACTGCACCCAGCAGCACCCACCAGGGAGTCAGCCCCTCCCTACGACCCCCCTGTGCTGTGGGCTGCCGCTCCCTTCCTATCTCTTTCATTCCCCGCCCTCGTTCCCCCCCTCCCCCCCCCTTGCTACCACTCCTCTTCCCACCCCACTCCAGGTGGCAGCCGTGGCAACAAAGAAACATCCGAACATGGTGTGACTGCTGGGTTACGAGTTCATGGTTCACGAGGACCTGAACCCAGCATCACCGCACTGCACCCCTACTCCCCTTCCTCCCTCCCGCACTCCAGGTGGCAGCGATGGCAACGAAGCACCACCCCAACCTGGTCCGCCTACTGGGATACGGTGTCAACATGAACCCAACACCACCGTTCTGCACCCCTTTCTCCCTTCCTCACACTACAGGTGGCAGCCATGGCAACGAAGCATCACCCCAACCTTGTCCGCCTACTGGGCTACTGCATTGACATGAGCCCAGCAGCACCAGGCAGGGGCGACCTGAGCATGGAGCAGATAGTGGTGTATGAGTTCATGGCTCACGGGGACCTCGAGCGCTGGGTGGGGGAGGGGGCGGCACAGCCGCTGCCCGTAGCTGAGCGTCTCTCGGTGCTCATCGGCACGGCCCATGGGTTGGAGTATCTTCACAGCTTTGGCATCGTGCACCGGGATATCAAGCCGGCTAATATTCTCCTTGACGACAAGTTTGAGGTGAGCTTGTCTGACCTCAGTTGTGCCTTTCCCTGTAAGCACACCTCCCCCCCCCCCCCCCTCCCTTCCCCATGGGTTGGAGTATCTGCACAGCTTTGGCATCGTGCACCGGGATATCAAACCCGCCAATATCCTCCTAGATGACAAGTTTGAGGTCAGCACCTGACTTGCTGTCGTGATAAGCACCTCTCTATGTCGTTCTTTGTCGTCATTCGGCTCACATCCCCTTGCCCTGCATGTCCCACCCTTAACCCCGCCAGGCCAAGGTAGCAGACTTCGGGTTGTTGAGGGAGAACGAGGGCACAACGGTGGGAGACACTCGCATCATGGGGACACCCACCCTTGCTCCTCCTCCCTTCCCTCAATCGCCCACGTCCCCTTGCCCTGCGCCTCTCACCCACCCCCACCTCTCACCTCCCAATGCTCCCAGGCTAGGGTGGCAGACTTTGGGCTGCTGAGGCAGAACGAGGGCACGACGGTGGGAGACACTCGCATCATGGGGACACTCTTGTTCCACCTCCCTTCCTCATTTGCCGCACATCCCCTTGGCCTGCATCCAATCCCACCCTCACCTCCCTCCCTTATCCCCGTCAGGCTAAGGTGGCAGACTTTGGGTTGCTGAGGCAGAACGAGGGCACAACGGTGGGAGACACTCGCATCATGGGGACACCAGGCTATGTGGACCCCGCTTATTTCAAGTCCAACAAGGCCACCCCCATGGCCGATGTGTACAGGTACAGAGCGGTGCAATGCGGTACAATGTTGTACTGAGTGGTACAGAGCGGTGCAAACCGATGTTGTCCTGTAAGGTAAGGGAGTGCATGGGAGTGATGGGCACACCGGGCTATGTGGACCCCGCTTACTTCAAGTCCAACAAGGCCACCCCGATGGCCGATGTGTACAGTTACAAGTGATACAGAGTGGTGCAGTGCAGTACAGCGGTGTATTGAGCGGTGCAGCTTGGTGCAGACCGGTATTGTTCTGTGAGGAGGAGTGCATGGGAGTGATGGGCACACCGGGCTATGTGGACCCCGCTTACTTCAAATCCAACAAGGCCACCCCCATGGCCGATGTGTACAGGTACAGAGCGGTGCATTGTGGAGCAGAGCGGTATTGAGCGCTATGGCACGGCTTTAAGCGGTACTGTCCTGTAAGGGATGCATGGGATTGATGAGGATGCTTTGGCATCCTCATCCTGACCACAATTTCCGACCACAGTTTTATGTGTCGACTGAACCACCGCTCTCCACTCCTTTCCATACCTCCCCACCCCTCAGCTTTGGCATCCTCATTCTGACCACAGTGTCGGGCCGCAACGCTCTCAGGGCGGATGGAATCTGAGCTGATCCCACTGCTCTCCACTCCTTCCCACACCTTCCGACCCCCCAGCTTTGGCATCCTCATACTGACCACAGTGTCGGGAAACAACTCTCTCAGGGCGGATGATGGTTGAGTTAACTGACCTACCGCTCTCCACCCCTGTCCACACCTCCCCACCCCTCAGTTTTGGCATCCTCGTGCTGACCACTCTGTCGGGCCGCAACGCTCTCAGGGTGGATGAGAACGGCAACAGTTTCAACGTCAGGGACTGGATGGAGTTTAATGTGTCGACTAAACCACCGCTCTCCACTCCTGTCCATACCTCCCCACCCCTCAGCTTTGGCATCCTCATTCTGACCACAGTGTCGGGCCGCAACTCTCTCAGGGTGGATGAGAACGGCAACAGTTTCAATGTCAGAAAATGGGTGAGTTAACAATTTCAACGTGGGGAAATAAGTGAGTTGACCATTTCAGCGAGGGGAAACAGGTGATTTGGCCATACTTCTGGAAATCGGTGAGTTGGCCTTTCTACTACTTGGTATGGTTGTGGTTAATTCAATGTTGTATTTCAACGTCAACAAAGAAACGGGTGAGAATACAATGTTCATGTCAAGAAATGGGATTGTGAGAGGGTTTGGTGTGTTTGCTCCTTGCAAAAACCAACTGCCATGCCAAGCAGCCACCGTTGAGCATGTGTGCTTCCTCCATTGGCATTTGTTTATCGAAGTGTCAATCTATGTATTGTGTGCAACCCCCATGTGAACCATCCCCATCCAGGCGGAGTCGTTAGTTGCGGCCGGCAAAGCGGAGGAACTGAAAGACCCGCGATTGGACGCTCCCGCAGATTTGATTCTGCGGCTGGCGCAGCTAGCTCTGCGCTGCACTGCCATGCCGACAGTGACTCGTCCTGACATGGTGCAGGTGGTATCTGAGCTCACAGCACTCAGGAAGGAATTTCTGGGGAAGGTGTCATCCAGGATGGCTGAGAGGATTGACGAGGAGGTGGAGTCCCAGAGAGTTGGGAATTTCAGTGCGGAAACAGAGATGATACAAAAGCTGGCATTTCAGGATAGCGCCAGTGCAATGAGCATTCGCTAGGGGGGTTGGATTGAATCAGAAAAAAAAAAAAACATTTCACCTCGTAGGTTCCAAAGGCTATGCATGATAGTACCTCTGTTCTTAATATAAAGATGAGATTACATATTTTTGTTTCTGTTGCGTGGTTCTGCGATTTGGAACTTACGACTGTAATGAAGCCGTCAATTGCAATATCTGTCAGAATATATTATGCTCTAGCCTGTAGTGGGGTGCTCTATAGCGAGTACAACCCTTCTAGGGTTTGCTATTTGTATCCTCATTCTTGCTAGTGCAACCTCCTCTTTTGCCTAAACTTCTCTTGCCTAGCTAGGACTTACCTAGCTATGGCGCCTTCTTCTACTGCTTATCTTCACATGGTATTAGAGCGATATGCTCCTGGCCTGTGGGCCCCACCTCACTGCTTCCGCTGCTACTGCTACTCCCTGTCCGCCGCGCGCCCCGTGGTGCGCGGCGTCGAAATTAGGGTTTTTCAGCCCGCCGTGCGCCCCGAGGCGCGCGGTGGTTTTCTGCCCGCCGTGCGCCCCGAGGCGCGCGGCGGTTTTCTGCCCGCCGTGCGCCCCGAGGCGCGCGACGGGTTTCTGCCCCGTCACTCGGCGTGTCGCCCCCAGGAGGCGCTACGACGGGCGACGGGGACCCGCGCGTCGCCCCCCGTCGCCCGTCGTGGCCTGCGCGCGGCCCGTACAGCCGGCGCGCGGCCCGTACGGGCTGCGCCAGGCCCGCGCGCGGCCCGTACGGGCTGCGCCAGGCCCGCGCGCGGCCCGTACGGGCTGCGCCAGGCCCGCGCGCGGCCCGTACGGGCTGCGCCAGGCCCGCGCGCGGCCCGTACGGACTGCGCCAGGCCCGCGCGCGGCTCGGGCCGCCTGCGCGCAGTTCGGGAGGCTGTGCCAGGCCCGTGGGCGGCCCTTTCCTCGCTGCCCCTGCCCTCCCCGCTATCCCCCGTGCTTCTACTGGCGCCCCACCCCTCCTACAGCCCGTTCTCCTGAATTAGGGTTTGGGGGTGAGGGGTATGGGGGTGAAGCTACTGTGTGCCGTTCCCTGCTCCTCCTCCTCCTCCGTCTCCCTGTGCTGCAGCTGCCGCTGAGGGGGGGTGGACTTGTTGGAGCCGTTGGAGTGGTACTAAGGGGGGGTGAAGGGGGAGTGGAGCTAGCGGTGTAGCAGCGGGTGTGTGTCAGGGGGAGTGGGATAGTTTGGGGAGGTTGAAGGGGGTGGCCGCCGTGAAGCCAGCAGCTCCAGTCGCCCGTGAGACCGTTGCGCCAGTCGCCCGTGAGCCCGTTGCGCCAGTCGCCCGTGAGCCCGTTGCTCCAGTCGCCCGTGAGTCCGTTGCTCGTCTGCCGCTACTTTTAGCCGCGGAGCCAGTTACTCCAGTAGCCCGTGTGCCAGTTGCTCCAGTTGCCAGTGTGCCAGTTGCTCCAGTTGCCCGTGTGCCAGTTGCTCCAGTTGCGCCGTGTGCCAGCAGCTTCAGCTGCCGCCCTACCTCCTCTCCTCTCATAGTCTCTTTCCTCCTCCTCACTTGCCCGTTGTGACTACCACTAGCTTTGCTCATAATTGTGAACTTTAAACTATTGCTTCTTGAACTTGTGCTCAGAATGTGTGGTGACATTGTGATCCACCCTGAGCTTGTACTGCTTTGCTTGCTCTGCTGATTACACCCCACTTTGGCTATGGGGGTGTGTCAGAATATTATGCTCTAGCCTGTAGTGGGGTGCTCTATAGCGAGTACAACCCTTCTAGGGTTTGCTATTTGTATCCTCATTCTTGCTAGTGCAACCTCCTCTTTTGCCTAAACTTCTCTTGCCTAGCTAGGACTTACCTAGCTATGGCGCCTTCTTCTACTGCTTATCTTCACAATATCAATTTGCTGACAGTGAACTCCTAGTTTGTGATTGGTGGAGTAATGTTAACGTGGTCAACGTGGTTCGAACTCAATAAACAATATTTTTGATACTGCGAACTTTCAAGAGGGCGGGTGTAAAGCAGCACTCTTCCAGTACATGGTGGTATCATAGCACTTAATTAAGCAAATCATCAAGCTTCGTGTTGTGTGCTGCTGAGAGAACTGTTTTCATGCCAACCATCATACGCAATTGACGGTCATTTTCGGCAGTAACGTTGCGGAACACGAGTCGCATGTATATATCCGAGCTCGCAGGTGTTTTATGGAGCCGCAGGGAGAAATGCATTGGTTTAAATTTGGGCAGTTGCGAGACGCAGGTGATGAAATTTCCGATTCGCGTGATGTTCGTGACCCTATACTAATTTGTCCGTAGTGCAGTTACTGGGCAGTGTTGAGGCCACACTGTCATTGGTGGCTGCACGCTCTCACACAGCTGGCGACGTCGCACTCCTCTTCCAATCAATCAAAAACCGCGTGGACCATGCGTCAACCCTACTTCAAATCTGTCAGCCTCCAGGCCACGTCCGTGCACCAATGGATTGTCCTCACGTCCGTACCCAAAGAGGGGTAATTACATTCTGGGTAACCAACATCGAGCCCGCTGACGTCAAAAGTCACCTACGTGGCTCGATGGTACCCGTCAGATCATGCGCACCCCTTGGTGGTACCCATCTTCCCTCTGTGGTACCCATCTTCCCTGCGTGGTACCCATCAACTGTGCGTGAATTCCCTGACTGGTACCGCAACATTTCAACCGAGCTGTACACCGTACAACAAGGGTTTCAATGCGATTTTCACTATATTATACCAACGTTTTCTGTCTGCAATTGAACATTAATACATTTGAACATTAATACCTTTGAACGTGCCTTACACTGGATAGAGTGCAACCTAGAAAAAATCAACTCCCCTTCTAAAATCCTCACGTTACCTCCGAACCTTTGTAAGCTCACATCACTGAGCGATAGGTAGCGTGAATCTTACGACCATGTTTCTCAGCGCGCAGTTGGTAATCTGAACAAAGTTCATAAGGTTGTATGCAAATAAATTGAGCATGTACCCCCACAGCTAAATAGAAAAGCATAAACAAATAATACGTACATTCGTTGGTTTCTGGAAACAAAACAATACCCATTAATGAAAATCAAATAACCTTAAGTCAATATATATATTACGTGTCAGTTGATCGTTTGTTACACGGATGTTTATTTTTGTGTTTCGGTTGATGCAATATATCTGTGGTGATTTAAATTATAGCACGTTATAATGTGGATGTTTATGAGCCTAAAGAAATCTACACAATAAATGTTTTCCTAAATTCAGCTTTTCTTCTACACTTTATTATAGGTAATGCGCTTGAAAATTTGACCCGATTATGTGGCACTTCGGGCTTCGGACTCTAATTGAGCTTGTAAACGTTAAGACAATATAGTGAAAAACGCATTGACACCCTTGTTGTACGGTGTACAGCTCGGTTGAAATGTTGCGGTACCAGTCAGGGAATTCGCGCACAGTTGATGGGTACCACGCAGGGAAGATGGGTACCACGGAAGGAAGATGGGTACCACCAAGGGGCGCGCATGATCTGACGGGTACCATCGAGCCACGTAGGTGACTTTTGACGTCAGCGGGCTCAATGTTGGTTACCCAGAATGTAATTACCCCAAAAAGAGTGATCGTCACCGTCAGCACCGATAATGCGCGCGACTCGATCATTCATGTAAGCCGTCCACACGGAGAGCCAATTGAAATGCGCCGTGAACTACGGTAGAACGATCGTTCGTGGAATTTCTTTGGGAGGTGCGCTAGACGTTTTCGTTCGGGAACATATCATACTGGGGCCGAACAGTGCCAGAGGGGTGATCAACCAGGGGCCGAGAGGCTCGGAACTAACCAAACCGCTGCGCAAGGAGGGATTAACCAAAGGGTCATCGTTTATTGCAAGTATTTCTGTTACTAGTTCCTTGTACCGGCTCGTAGTTTCGCTTGCGTGTCATTTAGCGAGCCGACTCTACCGGGAATTCTAAGGGCAGCCAAAAAACTAAAACCCCTAGTGAACCTGTATGCATTTTAGGGATGGATCAACCCTAAAAACGGGAACTTCCTTGCGTTTAGGGTTGTTGCCTCCCGAGTCGCATACGTTTCCGAATGGGTTATTTGTTTTTCCTGCGCGTTTCCGATCAGGTGGGCGATATTTATCACCTTGAATATAATAGATTCTGTACTCACAATTTTCTATGCCGGATTTTACTTCCAGAATAATGCGACGCGCTGATGGCGGTCAGCATCCTCAACAGATGGAGACGACCAATGAATGTGGTTCTGAAAGTAATTATCTTTTACGTACGGCTCGGCTTGTTCGTCAAGTCGTTTAGGCAGCTCCGGGATAAATCTTACGGTCGAGATTTACTGGCCTACTTTGGTCATCTCTCTGGCACTGTTCGGCCCTTATTTGATAATTTCCCTTTTCGTTCGCACCCTTCGCCCGTACGGCAGGCGCACAATTATTCCCGCATCGCAGATTGGACCGATTTCCGTTCCCCCTGGGAAAACACTCGGCGCAGGAAACGGTGCGCCTCATTGAACCCCCCCCGCCCAACCGGCCACTTCGCAGGTAAACGACCTTCACACCGCCAGCCAATCAAGCTGGAGCGAAAACTGGCGACGAACGACCCCCCTCCACACTCGCATCCCCACCCCACACCGTCACACGAATTGTCCAGCTGTCTGCTTGAATTCGCAATACTTTTCGCCCAGAGCACTGTACTCGTCGAGGGGGTTTAGAAGGAAAAGAAAGAGGTGGTGAACGGTCGACTCCATCCCTCCCCTACATTCTGCCAGACCTCGGCAGCAGTGCGTGCGACAGCGCATGCGCGACTACTGTTCCCCCTCCTGACACCAACGATCACCAACAGAACGAGGCGCACATGACGCTTCCCCCGTCACGCGCGTTTTCTCCCACCCTCCCTCGCGCGCGACAGAAAGTGAGGGTGGGTGGGGCGGTGGCTGGGGACCATCCGTCAATCGATCACAGTGAACAGAACAGTCGCACCAACCAGTCCCGCCGACGTTCGAGCCGAGAAACGGTGGGTCGTTTGTTCACCCTGATTCCTGCACCGGCCGTCGCTTTTCAGCACAGTTTCACACGGCAGTAGACTCGCAGTCCAATGTGCTTGCATAAAGTGCAGACCCCTCCCCCATTCTCGAGGACAACGAAAGCATTGCTTCCAATTTCCCACCTACCAACATTTCCTACCACCCAGTTAGCAAAATTGCAACGGAATACTGTAAAGCTCGACCTAGTTCGGCCTCCACGCCATCATCAGATCTCTTCGCGTTACTAGTCCTTAGGTAGTCCTACTTTAAGTTCTATTTTCCCGTAGCTCACGCTTCTCAATATGGCTGCTCCTAACTTCCGTAGCGCATCGGTTTCAGCTCCCCAGACCCGCCAGGTCTCCCCTCCGCCTAGCAGGTTCGGCGCACCTTGCGCTCCGCCCTTGCGCCAAAACTCGCTCGACAGTTTCCGCGCAAAGGTCAAGCCGCTCGTGATCGCGCGCCCCGCCACCGCTGACGAGGCGCCCGGCGAGCGTCATCCGCTGGAGATCTGGGAGATTAACTACGACGACATTTTCCCCAACTCCGCGCGCCTCGCGAAGGAGTTCGCCGAGAAGTCACTCGTGCTGTCCAGCCCGCCCGTGCCCAGCGCCGCATCACCCGCCGCATCATCCGTCGTACCATCCACCGCAGCTTCCGCCGCGGCTTGCGTTTCCGCTGCGCGGACAGCGCCCCAGCAGCTCACTCCCCGCGATCGCGTTTCTGAGGCGCTCCCGTCACTGTCCCCCGACGTCGACAATTCCAGCCCGCTTTCCGAACTCGCGTCCCCGCAATCTCCCCCCAGCATTACCATCCCCGCGCGCGCGCTCGACGATTTCACCTCCCCCCCGTCGTTCCCCCAGTTGCGCGCGCACATGCTCGGTTGCAAGCTCGGCACGCCGTGCGTCGTGTCTCTCGCGCGCACGCCCGGCGATCCCGGCGCGTGGGACGCCGACGACGAGGAGTACGAGTCGGAAGAGAGCACCCGGCGGCGGTTCCGCCGCTCCGGTAGCACTGGCGGAAGCCGCCACTGGGTTGGCGAAAAGTTGGGGGCATGCGCGGAAGGCGGAAGCCGCAAAGAGCGCGCGCGGGGGCCGTCTCCGCTGTCCGGCCGGGTTGTGGCGGGGAGTGGCGCGGGAGGGGCGGGCGGGAGTCCGCAGCACCACGGTACGGGAAGGGTACTCATTAAGCGCTGCTCCGATCCCGTTATGAGGAGTCCCAGAGAGGTGCCGAATCACGGGTCCCGGCTGCAGCAGGTTCGGGATGCCGAACCTGAGACTCGTCACCGGCTGGCTCGGACAAGCAGCAGAGGCTCGGAAACATCGGCGCGCAGCTCCTCCGCCGGCCGGCGACGGCGGTCGTGCGGGCGGTTTGGCGAGTCCCGAAGCGTAGGCTCGGAGAAGGTTCGCATGACGGTGCAGTTTTACTCCGATCTCCTCGATCCCTGCGTGATTGGCGCGCTCGCTGCGCCTTGCGCCACTGCCGCGAGTTCCGCGCAGCGGGATCATAAGTCCCCCATCCGCGGAACCCAGAGCGGAGGAGAGGGGGAAGGGAAGCGCCGCGCGGGCGGAAATAGCGGGGGAAGCAGTGGGCGCGCGGCTGGCGGAAGAGTGCAGAGCCCTCTTTGCGGAAGGGGTTCCCGCGGAGGGGTTGTGCGAGGGGGGTTGGCTGCGGCGGCAACCGCGGCTGCTGCTGCGACTGGCCCCTGTCGCGTTGTGTCGCTGTGCTGAAGGCGAAACCGATATCCGCGTTTGAAGTGACAACCGAGCAGGCCCATGGAATCTACAGCTGCACTTTCTCATGCATCTACATATTCTTTCATTTTTTCGAGTTATAGCCATTCTGTAACTCGTGAAGACTGACTTTCATTTAGGACTCCTATCTGCACATCATGACCTGTACAGAACTGTGCAGAATACCATTAGGGAAGCATTCCTATACGCTGTATAGAATGCTAACTAGGTGGTAGATTGCCCATTAGATTTACCGGTAGATAGCCATCATTTCATAGTACGGTACCATTTTATTCATGTGCACTTCCCTGTATGAGTGAGCCATGCTCGTCTATTCTCACCGCCCACAACATGCTATAAAATTCGTGTAGCTGAGCGTAGACTTTCAGAATGCATGGAAACACAAACTTGTATGCAAAGCAATAGCGCTGCTCGACAAGGCACTTGGCACCCAAGCACACCCAGCTCCACTCTGTGCAATCACCTTACCGTACCACCCTTTCCTCATCTCCATAACCGATATCACCTTTCCTCAGCACAATTGCCAACTACGGTACTCTTGCGCTCATCTCTGACTATTTCGCTCGATACATGGCCACAGCTACTTGGGTCTGACACTCCCTCTCTCCTGAAAAATAATATATCCCTTGCACCTACCCATGAATGAGAGCACACATCACCATAGCTGCTAGTACTCGCCCCGTCTCTCCTTCCTGCCCATTACTTAACGCCACAGCTGCCATCACTCCCTCCCACCACCATCCTCTCAGCTGCACCAATCTCCTTCTCAAAGCACCCAACGCCTGCCCCTCCACCTTCAGTCGTAGCTGCTAGTACTGCCCCCATCTCTCCAACCCATCACTTCATGCCACCGCTGCCAGAACTCCCTCCCACCACCATCCCCTCGGCAGCAACAACCTCCTTCTCAAAGCACCCACCCCTCTGCCAACCAAAATCGCCCCTCCTCTGCTCCTCCATTCACCTGGTAACCTACCTGTTACCAATAAACACCCATACTGCCTCCCACCTGTTGTATCCCTGCCTATCACTTCACACCTCTGCAGCACTGCCTCCCTTCACCACCTGCTCTGTAGCAGCAATCTCCGCACAGGCCTATGAAAGCTGATGGCAGTAAGGCCTCCGCACCCCACCCGTTTACCGCGCACAAGCCCTGCCCATCACTTCACACCTCTGCACTGCCTCCCTTCACCATTTTCTCGGTAGCAGCAAGCTCACCTTCAAAACACCCACCCATCTGCCCCTCCACCTCCTCATCTTCCCCCCCAGCCAACCCAGGTAACGCCTCCCCCAGGTACTCCCTCCTCAGCGCTGTGAGCTCAGATATCACCTGCACCATGTCAGGACGAGACGCGGCCGGCATGGCAGTGCAGCGCAGCGCCAGCTGCGCCATCCGCAGAATCAAATCTGCCAGAGCGTCCAATCGGGGGTCCTTGAGTTGGTCTGCTTTCCCCGATTTTATTAGGTCCTCCGCCTGATCGGTACGGGGGATGGGTTGGGCAAACGGAAAGGGTTGGGTGTGAGGGAAATGTTGGGCATGGGTAAAGGGGTGACTTGTGAGTAGACTCCAATCGGGGGTCCTTGAGTTGGTCTGCTTTCCCCGATTTTATTAGGCCCTCCGCCTGATGGGTACGGGGGATGGGTTGGGCATGGAGAGAAGGGTTGGGCATAGGAAAGAGGTTTTGGCATAGGGGAAGGGTTGAATTTCAAGCTGACTCAGAAGTCCAATGTGGGTCCTTGAGCTACGCTGCCTTGCCTGCTTTGACTAGGTCCTCCGCCTGATGGGTATGGATGGGATGGGCTGGACACGCGGAACGGAGGTGATGTGAACGGTTCAACACAGGGAAAGGCGGGGAAAGAGAGAGCCTTGAGCTGCGCTTCCTTGCCTGCTTTGACTAGGTCCTCCGCCTGATGGGTATGGATGGGATGGGCTGGCAAGGAGAATGGAGGTGATATTGACATATCGGCATGGGCAAAGGAGGCGACAAGGATGGGTTGGCATGAGAATGGAGGTGGCATGGCATGAAGGGTTCAGCACAGGGACAGGCGTGCCAGCTTCGAATGGGCTGACACGAATGGGCTGACACGAATGGGCTGACACGAATGGGCTGGTCTGTCTGCTGTGCCAGCTTCGACTAGGTCCTCCCCTTGATGGCATGCATGGCAGTGCATGGCAGTGCATGGCAGTGCATGGCAGTGCATGGCAGTGCATGGCAGTGCATGGCAGTGCATGGCAGTGCATGGCATGCATGGCATGCATGGCAGTGCATGGCAGTGCATGGCATTGCATGGCAGAGCATGGCAGTGCATGGCAGTGCATGGCAGAGCATGGCAGTGCATGGCAGTGCATGGCAGTGCATGGCAGTGCATGGCAGTGCATGGCAGAGCATGGCAGTGCATGGCAGTGCATGGCAGTGCATGGCAGTGCATGGCAGTGCATGGCAGAGCATGGCAGTGCATGGCAGTGCATGGCAGAGCATGGCAGTGCATGGCAGTGCATGGCAGTGCATGGCAGTGCATGGCAGAGCATGGCAGTGCATGGCAGTGCATGGCAGTGCATGGCAGTGCATGGCAGTGCATGGCAGTGCATGGCAGTGCATGGCAGTGCATGGCAGTGCATGGCAGTGCATGGCAGTGCATGGCAGTGCATGGCAGTGCATGGCAGTGCATGGCAGTGCATGGCAGTGCATGGCAGTGCATGGCAGTGCATGGCAGTGCATGGCAGTGCATGGCAGTGCATGGCAGTGCATGGCAGTGCATGGCAGTGCATGGCAGTGCATGGCAGTGCATGGCAGTGCATGGCAGTGCATGGCAGTGCATGGCAGTGCATGGCGGTGCATGGCAGTGCATGGCAGAGCATGGCAGTGCATGGCAGTGCATGGCAGTGCATGGCAGTGCATGGCAGTGCATGGCAGTGCTCACCCATTTGCGAATGTTGAGATCGGAGTCACTGCCGTCTCACCCATTTGGCAGTGACTGCTGGGCGTGCCGAGAGCACCATGAGCATCACCACGCCGAAGCTGAGGGGAATGAGAAGGGCGGATGGGTGGGAGGAGGAAGGAACAAATGGGCGGCTGGGTGAACAGGTTTTTGGACGAAAGGGTGACTGCTGGGCGTGCCGACAGCACCATGAGTATCACCACGCCGAAGCTGGGGGGTTTTGGAGCATGTTGGATGGGCGAGCGAGTGGGTGAATGGGTGCAGGGAGTATTGGATGAATGGCTGAGTGCGGTCGTGCCAACAGCACCATCAGCATCGCCATGGAAGGGAAATTCAGAGTGGGAAAAGCACGAGTGAGGGTTGAAAAACGTATGATGCACGTATGTGTGTGCAATCTCGCATGCCACTGCCTGTACCTGTGCACACCAGGCAGACTGTACTCACTTTTGAGAATCCTCAGGAGTGGCATTGTTGATCGTAAATCAGGTGGGGTCCACATGGCCTGATGTGCCCATCACTCCCATGCACTCTCTTCCCATACCGACTTGCACCACTCTCTACCACTCTGTACCACCCTGTACTGCTCTGCACCGCTCTGTACCTGTACACATTGGCCATGGTGGTAGCCTTCTGCGACTTGAAGTAAGTGGGGTCCACATAGCCCAGTGTGCCCCACTCGCATGTATTCCCTTATAGTACAATACCAACTTGCACCGCTCTCTACCACTCCGTGGCACCCTGTACCGCACTGTACCTGTATACATCTGCTGTGGGAGTGGCCTTCTGTGACTTGAAGTAAGGGGGGTCCACATAGCCCGGTGTGCCCATCACTCCCATGCACTCCCTTACAGGACAACACCGGCTGGCACCGCACCTAAACCCTTGATAAAGCTCAGCACCACTCTGTACCTCTCTGCACCGCTCTGTACCTGTGCACATCAGCCATGGCAGTGGCTTTCTGTGACTTGACATAAGCGGGGTCCACATAGCCCAGTGTGCCCATCACTCCCATCTGCTCCCTTACAGGACAACACCGACCAACTTGCACTGCTCTAGACCACTATGTACCAACCTGTACTGCTCTGTAGATATCTCTACCACACTGCACCGCTCTGTACCTGTACACATCGGACGATGGGGTGGCTTTCTGTGACTTGACATAAGCGGGGTCCACATAGCCCGGTGTGCCCATCACTCTAGTCGAGCCCACAGTGGTGCCCTCCCCCTCCCTCAGCAGCCCAAAGTCAGCAATCTTAGCCTGGTAGGAAGGGATTTGTGGGGAGACAAGGTTGAAATGAGGTGATGGTGACACGATAAGACAAGGGTGAGATGAGGTGGTGTGTTTGTATCGACAGAATCTTGGCCTGGTGGGGTGGGTGGGGGTTGAGAGAAGGTTGAGCACTTGAATCAAGCAGGGTCCACATAGCCTGGTGTGCCCATCACTCTAGTTGAACCCACTGTGCTGCCCTCCCCCTCCCTCAGCCGCCCAAAGTCAGCAATCTTAGCCTGATAGGAAGGGATTTGTGGGAGACAAGGTTGAAATGAGGTGATGGTGACACGATAAGACAAGGGTGAGATGCGGTGGTGTGTTTGTGTCGACAGAATCTTGGCCTGGTGGGGTGGGTGGGGGTTGAGAGAAGGTTGAGCACTTGAATCAAGCAGGGTCCACATAGCCCGGTGTGCCCATCACTCTAGTCGAGCCCACAGTGGTGCCCTCCCCCTCCCTCAGCAGCCCAAAGTCAGCAATCTTAGCCTGGTAGGAAGGGATTTGTGGGGAGACAAGGTTGAAATGAGGTGATGGTGACATGATAAGACAAGGGTGAGATGAGGTGGTGTGTTTGTATCGACAGAATCTTGGCCTGGTGGGGTGGGTGGGGGTTGAGAGAAGGTTGAGCACTTGAAGTAAGCGGGGTCCACATAGCCCGGGGTGCCCATCAATCCCATACACTCTATTACAGGACAACACTGGCCTGCACCGCTCTGCGACTTTAATCAAGCGGGGTCCACATAGCCCAGTGTGCCCATCACTCTAGTTGAACCCACTGTGCTGCCCTCCCCCTCCCTCAGCAGCCCAAAGTCGGCAATCTTGGCCTGGTGGGTAGGTGGGTTGTTATGAGGAAAAGAGGGTGATATAAGGTGGTGTGCTTGTATGAAGTCGGCTCGAATCACTCTGGTGGCATCCACAATAATGCCCTCTCCTTCTCTCTGGGTGGAGATTCGTGATGTTTGGGGTGTCCTGATGAGAAACGGGCAATACAAAGATAGCGCATTCGTATCGCGTCAACTGAAATGCCAGTAAAAGTAGACCTATCGTCTAACTTGCTCTCAAGGGGTTTGATATCGCGATGCCCCATTGATGATACAGAGAGTGGTGCTCATAACAACAACAGAGGAATGACAGAGAGAATGCGAGACAGAATCTTTTGGGCTAACCTCGAACTTTCTGTCCAGGAGGAGGCTGGCGGGTTTTATGTCGGGAGGTGCTTACAAAGAAATGCACACTCAGAACAGCGAGGGGCTGACCTCAAACTTGTCATCTAGGAGGATATTAGCAGGCTTGATGTCGCGGTGCACGATGCCAAAGCAGTGCAGATACTCCAACCCATGGGGATGGGAGGTGCTTACAGGGAAAGGTGCTTAAAGGGAAAGGCACAGTCAGAACAAGCTCACCTCAAACTTGTCATCCAGCAGGATGTTGGCGGGCTTGATGTCGCGATGCACAACAAACAAGCAGAGAGCAGCTCTAGGGGAGGACAGACAGAGAGGGGCTGACCTCAAACTTGTCATCGAGGAGAACATTAGCAGGCTTGATGTCGCGGTGCACGATGCCAAAGCTGTGCAGATACTCGATCCCGTGGGCCGCCCCGATGAGCACCGCAAGGCGCTGCGCCACCGGCAGCGGCTGTGCCGCCCCCTCCCCCACCCACCGCTCCAAGTCCCCCTGGGGCATAAACTCGTACACCACGATTTGCTCCATGCTCAGGTCGCCCTGTGCTGCTGGGTCGCTGTGGGTGGAGTGCGGTGCCGGTGGGAACATTTCGATGCAGTAGCCGAGCAGGCGCACCAGGTTGGGATGGTGCTTCGTTGCCATCGCTGCCACCTAAAGAGGGAGGAAGGGGAGGAAAGGGAGTAGGAGTGCAGTGCGGTGCTGCTGGGTGCATGTCCACACAGTGACCGAGCAGACGGACGAGGTTGGGATGGTGCTTCGTTGGCATCGCTGCCACCTGGAGTGGGAGAGGAAGGGGAGGAAGGAGAGGAAGTGAGGGTGGAAAAAATAAGGCGGATTGAGTTGGGGTGGTGCTTGGTTGGCGTTGCCGCCACGCCACCTGGGGTAGGGGAAGATATTGAGGGGAGGATTGAGGAAGCGGGGGTGGGTAGGGAGAAGGAGTGGGGAGAGGGGATTGGGGAATGGAGACTGGGGAATGGGGAGTAGGGTATGGGGAGGACTGGGGAGTGGAGAATGGGGAGGACTGGGGAGTGGGATGTAGGAAATGGAGAGTGGGGAGTAGGGGGGAAGGAGATGAGCGACACGAGGGTTTTGGACAGGGATTGCATAGGCCCTCCCTCACCCATGTCTCCAGGTTAGGTGCGGACCGTGCGGTGCTGCTGGGTGCAGTGTGCTGGGTGTACCTTTCTTTGAAAGTCCTTGGTAAGAATTCGAGCCCTCTTCACGGCCCACAGCACAGAGAAATCATATGGACTGACAGCCCGGTACACATCAGGTGTTGAGATGTCTCAAAACTGGGTGCAGTGTGGTGCTGCTGGGTACAGTGAGCTCACCTCTCGTTGGAAGACCTTGGTGAAGACCCGAGCCCTCTTCACGGCCCACAACATTGAGGGGTCGAAGGGACACACGCCCTTGGCAAGGGGCGCGTGTGGTGTTGCTGGGTGCAGTGCGGTGCTTCTGGGTGCAGTGTGCATACCTCTCTCCATGGAAGTCCTTGGTGAGGACCCGAGCCCTCTTCACGGCCCACAGCACCGAGGGGTCAAAGGGACACACACACGCCCTTATACACATCTCCATAGCTGCCGCCCAAGTGCACGTACCCAGTGCCGTGCACTCACCCAAAGCCACTGCCCTCACCTCTCGTTGAAAGTCCTTGGTGAGAATGCGAGCTCGCTTCACGGCCCACAGCACAGAAAGATCGAAGGGGCACACACACGCCCTTATACACATCTCCATAGCTGCCGCTGCCAGTGCGGTTGCTCTCCTCCCAGTTGTTGGGCGCACGTGCGGTGCTGCTGGGTGCAGTGAGCTCACCTCTCGTTGGAAGTCCTTGGTGAGGATTCGACCTCGCTTCACAGCCCACAGCACAGACGGATCAGTCGGGCACACGCCCTTATACACGTCCCCAAAGCTGCCTCTGCCAATGCAGTTGCTCTCCGCCCAGTCACCCGTGGCCCGTGCCACGTCAGCAAGGGCGAATCTCTGACACACTTGAGGCGCGTAGTCAATGCTCCCCCCTCCAACGCCCCCCCCACCCTGCTGCCCTTTCTGGAAGGATTCACCTGCAGCGGGGCAGAATGAATAGGGAGGAAGGTGCAGCAGCAGAATAAGGGGGCGGTCTGGCAGGTAAGGGCCGGGGAAAGAGGGAGCAGGCGCTGCCTCTGACGCACTTGAGGCGCGTAGTCAATGCTCCCCCCACCCTGCTGGCCCTTCTGGAAGGATTCGCGTGCAAAGGAGTAGAATAGGGAGGGAGGCGTGGCAGGAAAGGATGGGGAAGGGGGGGAGCAGGCACTGCCTCTGACACACTTGAGGTGCGTAGTCAATGCTCCCCCCACCCTGCTGCTGCTGGTGCCGCTGCTGTCCCTGCTGCTTCTTCTGGAAAGACTTACCAGCAAAGGGGCAGAATGAATAGGAAGGAAGGTGCAGCAGGTAAGGACGAGGAAGGGGGGGAGTAGGCGCTGCCTCTGACACACTTGAGGTGCGTAGTCAATGCTCCCCCCACCCTGCTGCCGGATAGACAGTCGAATGAGGCGCCTTGACAGTTTCCCCCACCTCCAGCCCTGCCTTGCGTCTCTGCCTGTGCCTAAGCCAGGGGAGAAGGACCACCCCTGCTGCTGCCAGAAGTAGCAGCAGCAACACACCAGCCAACCACAACACCAATTACCTTCTCCTGCTGCATGGACAGTGGAATGGGCCGCCTTGCCACCTGTCCCCACCTCCAGCCCTCCTATGCGTCTCCTCCTGTGCCTGAGCCAGAGGAGAAGGACCAGCCCTGCAGCTACCAATAGCAGCAACAGTAGCAGCAGCACCACACCAGCCAACCACAACACCAGTTACCTTCTCCTGCCGGATGGACAGTCGAAAGGGAAAGGACCACCCCTGCAGCTGCTAGCAGCAGCAGCACCACACCAGCCAACCACAACGCCAATCACCTTCTCCTGCCGCATGGACAGTCGAAAGGGAAAGGACCACCCCTGCAGCTGCTAGCAGCAGCAGCCCACCAGCCAACCACAACGCCAATCACCTTCTCCTGCCGCATGGACAGTCGAAAGGGAAAGGACCACCCCTGCAGCTGCTAACAGCAGCAGCAACACACCAGCCAAACACAACGCCAATTACCTTCTCCTGCCACATGCACAGTCGAATTAGCCGCCTTGCCACCTTTCCCCGCCTCCAACCCTCCCTTGCGCCTCTCCCTGCGCATAAGGCACGGGAGAACGACCATCCCTGCTGCTGCTAGTAGCAACAGCAGCAGCAGCGCACCAACCACAATGCCAATTACCTTCTTCTGCCGCATGGACAGTCAAATGAGCCACCTTGTCACCTGTCCCCACCTCCAACCCTCTCCCTGCGCCTAAGGAAGAGGAGCAGCACCAACCCTGC